AATAGGAGTGCTGCATGCACATCCGTTTCACAGGTCTGGTTTATTTGTATGAAGACTTGTGGTTCCTTGCCTCTCAGGCAGATGTACTCCAGTTTTCAAAGATGTCCCTAATTAGTCGACTCCTATGACATGCTTGAGCCACCGTGGGCTAGTGGCTAGACGCTCGACTGCAGATCGGAAGGTCGTGGGTTTGGTTCTTGGCGGTGGCCGGCCTTTGTTTTTCAGAAATGACCTTGGCTCCCAGGTCGACCCAACCTTGAGTGGGTGCCAGGTGCAGTCCTGGGACGTAAAGACGACCGGCGTTATTTTGACCACATCACCCACCAAGTGCCGTTTGGTCTATGAAATACAGGTCTAGCCCTACATACACTATACGCCTGAAAGGCATGGAAAAGGTCCTTTACTTTACTAAGACATGCTTGTTGTGCCGGCAGTGAGTCTATTCTTGTTCTCCCCCACAATAGGGACATGGAACCCACACGGGGAGAGCATTCATTGTATAAGCTAAAGACACTGCTTTCATAGAATACTGATGATGTTAACAAAACAGAGTTCTCTTTTAAAAATAATAGTCTCAATTAAGACAATAATTTTCTAATAGAACAGTGAAGGCAGGAACTAAAGACACTGTTCTCATAGAACATTTAAGGTATGAACTATAGACACTGTTCTCATAGAATATTGAAAATATGAACTATAGACACTGTTCTCATAGAACATTGAAAGTATGAACTATAGACACTGTTCTCGTAGAACATTGAAAGTATGAACTATAGACACTGTTCTCACAGAACACTGAAGATGTGAATAAAACACCGTCCTCCTAGGAAAAAAATAGTGTGAACTAAAGACAACGGTATTCTAATAGAACATTCATTGTCTTCTTCGTGTTCACTGGTTGTAATTACTAGCAAAAAGCTCTGGGTGTTCGTCCACCTCCAGACTTTAGTCTTATTCCAGAATCTAAGTTTCACAGATCTGTCTTTTTTGAATGCAGACTTCTGGTTCCTTGCCTCTAACTAGTCACCTTTTACGACATGCTTTTTTAGGGGCTAGCGGGTGTGCACTAAAAACTGATATCGAAGTAGTCCAGTTCCAGCAAAAAAGGTTATTTAATGTCTCCACTAGGACTAGGGAATTTGTGGAGGTCAAAAGAAATTCAAATAAATACTAAACTAACATTTTTTATTTCTTATGTCAAGCCAGTACTATTGTATGGGGCGGGAACTTGGAGAACAACCAAGGCAATTACTAATAAATTACAGACATTCATTAACTGGTGCCTGTGCAGAATAGAGGGAATAAAATGGTATGATAGAATAACTAATGAAGAACTTTGGGAGAGAACTAAACAGGCTCCAGTGGACCAAGAGGTGAGGAAAAGACGCTGGCGTGGATAGGACACACACTGAGAAAACAGGAGAACAGCATAACTAGAATGTCTTTGCATTGGAACCCACAGGGGCATAGGAATAAAGGAAGGTCAATAAACACACGGAGAAGAAAGCTGGAGAATGAGGTTAGAAAGATTGGGAGGACACGGGGAGAGCTCCATGCAATGGCGAAGGATAAAGCGATTTGGCGTGAGTTAGTTGAGGGCCTATGCTCCATTGGGGGGGGGGGGGGATAGAAGGGCAGAAGAAGAAGAAGCGGGTGTGCACTAAAAACTGACATGGAAGTAGTCCAGTTCCAGCAAAAGGGTTTTTTAATGTCTCCACCCCACCACCCCCAAGGAGATTCCCCCCTTCCCCACAATACCTGTTCCAGGGCGCCTCAGGCAAAACTGATAGTCTTTCTCAGGGCTGTCAATTCCACTCCCAAAACAAGCATAAATCTGCCCAGCCGACCACCTCCCACATGTTTCAGCAAATAACCAAACTCAGGCGAAATTATTTGCCACACAGAATCGGAACTCAGGATCAGCAAATGAACCTCCCTTTAATATAGTGGGTCTTCGGGCGGCTAAAAGAGGATCAAGTTTGTAATTTATGTTTCCTAGTAATCTAATCTAATCTAATCTCCCCCCCCCCCTTTTCCAGCCCATATATAAACAAATCACAACTGATGAGCCACTGGCTCGCCGGTAGACAACTTCGTCCCCATCGAGGCAGTATTTGAGTCTGTCTCTTTTGATCACATCAACACTGCAGGAATCCTTTTCATGGCTTTTGGTGGCTTGCTACGCCATTTTATATGCCGCACATAACCTAGTCACAATTATAACCTACAGCTTCCACTTCAGGGATGCTGGTTAAGCGTGACGATCCCCCTCCCCCTTTTTTTCAAGCAAAGCACCTACCTACCCATGAGCCATTTAAAAAGGACATGAGGGAGATAGTTGTGGGAGGACTTAACATCAAAGTTCTTTCGCTCGGCCCTGATGGAAGCGATATACATGAGGGAAATCATCGTAGGAGGACTTGGCAACAAGGTTCTTTCGGTTGACTGTGATAGGAGCGATATTCTGCGATGGACCTTCTACATGATGATGATAATGATGCAATGCGACTGTTGCCGTTTCCGTTACTTGGACATTTAATGAAACGTTAATATAAGTTACGATTTCTGTCTCTGGTCTACAAACTATCCCACGTTGACAACATGTATGTAAGAATCATCATCAGTTCTCGTTATGCCTAGTGGCACACGAGGCTTCAGAGAGGACTTTCCATGCTTTCCTGTCCTGTGTAATCCTAAATGCAGTTTTCCATGTCAAAGATGCCGCACTCAGGTCACTTTCCACCGTTCGTCTCCATGTTGTTTTTGGGCGCCCCTGTTTTCTCTTTCCCTCTGGTGTCCATGTGAGAGCTGTTTTGGCAGGTATATCAGAAGTCATTCTCATAACGTGGCCAAGCCATTTTCATCTTCTCTTGGTAATCATACTGTCTAAAGTTTCTTGGTTTGTGGTTTGAAGTAGTTTAGTGTTTGAGATTGTATCTGGCCAGAAAATTTTGATAATTCTCCGTAGACATGTGTGGTGGAAGGTGGACAGCTTGTGTGCATCCTTTTTGGTCATTCTCCAGCATTCCGCTCCATAGAGAAGAACTGGCAAAATGATGCTCTTGTAGAGTCGGAGTTTCATTCCTCTGCAGTAATTGTTGGATTTCCAGATTTGCCTCATCCTTCCAAAAGCAGCTCTAGCTTTGTTCAGACGTGACTGTATGTCTTCCTCTGTCCCTCCCAGTAGGGACACCACACTGCCAAGATACGTGAAATGTTCTACATTTTCAAGTGATTGGTTAGTTATGGTCACTGGTTGTTGGTTTGGACTGTTTGTCATGATCTTAGTTTTCTTTGTATTTATTCTCAGTCCCACCATTTCTGCTGTGCAGTTTAGTCTGTTACTTTTCTCTTGTATATGTTCATATTTATGTGATAGGAGTGCTATATCATCTGCAAAATCAAGGTCCTCAAGCATGGTGAATGGAATCCATCGTATGCCTCTTAATGTCCTGTCTACTGTGTTCTTTAGTATCCAATCAATCACAAGGTTGAAGAGGAGAGATGACATAACACAACACTGTCTTACACCCGTCTTTACTGGGAAAGATGTATTGTAATTTTTTATACTGCAGGAAAAGTCTTTATAGAAGAGAGCAATTATGTTGACTATTTTTTCTGGAATTCCATAATGTCGTAAAATTTTCCACAGACCGTCTCTATGGACGCTGTCAAAAGCTTTCTCAAGTCCACAAAATTAATATATATACTTCTGTATGTAAGAAAGTGGTCTCTAATCCTCCGTTCAGAAAAGGATGGTTTAAAAGCAGGTGGCGTGAAGCAATTTTGAAAGTGAGTGTATTTGTATTCTGCAAAGGACATGCTACTGACTGACAGACTCATCTTTCATCTCATTATAATTTAATGTTACTTACATCTCATCATAATATCATGTTACTTACATCTCATCATAATCTCATGTTACTTACATCTCATCATAATCTCATGTTACTTACATCTCATCGTAATCTAATGTTACTTACATCTCATAATAAACTAATATTTTCATGAAGACAAGACTATGGTACGGTGACCACAACCAACAACAATCTGTCGGCTGCTCTCACACTTCATCCACCACCTGCTTCCATGGCTTCACGTAACCTTAATTGGGGTAGCTAAACGGGTACTCTACCTTGCCCAAGGGTGTCCCGTAGACTAACGGAGGCAAGGTGCTTCTTACATCTCCTTTGATAGGGGATACCCCTTCCCCGCTAACCACAATTAGACGTAAGATGAGATGTAAAATAAGAGGTATGTAAAATTAGATGTAAGATGAAATCAACTACCCCCGATGGTTACCATGGATAGATTTAATTGAAACATATGCCTTAGGAAGATGAGATGTAAGTGAAATTAGATGTAGTAGGAGATGTAAGTAACGATTAGATGTAAGAGAATTTTGAGTAAAGACTAGATGTAAGAAGAGATTCAGTAGTCAGAGGTAAGAGGAGATGTAAGTAAAGTTAAATGTAAGCTAAAAGGTAAGAGATGTAAGTAAAGTTAAATGTAAGCTAAAAGGTAAGAGATGTAAGTAAATATAAAATGTAAGATGAGATTAGGTACTGTTTAAATTTTATAGGCGATGTTAATAAAAATTATGTGTAATGTAATATGATATGTTAGTATAATTAGGTGTAAAATGCGATGTAAGTAAAGTTAGATGTAAGAAGAGATGTAAGCAAAGTTATAACGAACGAACGAACTTTATTTTCAAAGGGTCACAAATTGGGCACGCAGTTCCGTCTTACATTCGGCCCTTCCATGATGTAAGATGAGACGTAAGCAAAATTAGATGTAAGCAAAATCGGTGTAAGAGGAGATGTAGGCAAAGTTAGATATAGGATGAGACGTAAGAAAAATTAGATGTAAGATATGTAAGCAAAATGAGCTGGAGATCAGCAACCGCTGGTAGTTCTTTTGGACGCCACTACCCCCCCCCCCTTTTTTTCTGTAATTCAGGCGGATGTGACGTCACACGATGGCTGCAGCCCTGGATGATGGCTGACGAAGATCCCATTGTTTTGAGTTTTGGCGATAGTTTGCTACGAAAGTCAGACCTTGATTTACTTTCTGCGCCCAACTGGATCAATGACAGAATTATTGGCTTCTGTTTTGAGTAAGTTATATTTGCATAACTGCTCTGTGAGTTTTGATTTACTAGAGAACATGCAGCAGCAGTGGTCGACCCCCCCCCCCCCCACCGTGCTCCCCGTTTTGTCGGGACAACTGATAAATAATTAACAGTGAGAAAACAGTTCAGCTAAATCTGAGACGGAATCAGTTCATATTCCTACTGCCATTTTCAAGAAATACCCCTCTCCCCTCAAGTCTGTTAAGTAGCGGTCGAATTTGTAAAATATGTTGAAGTTGGCTATCCTCCGAATAACGGGCGGTAAAGATGGCGGCCGCAAAATATCCTGACGAGCCACAGTCATGTGTTGTAAACATTCAAAAATTGAAATCAAAACTAATAATGAACGAAAAAAATGTTTTATCAAATCGACTACTAACCGATAATTTTATGCCTTTATATCTGGAAATTATGGCACAGAAGTTGTAAATACTGCCCGAAAATCTGCTGTTTGTGCCTGTTACACCATTGAAACTCGGTTAAGTACGATCGGAACTAGGCGCAGCTTGTACCAGATTGGTATAAAAGCTTTCTCATTAGTAGCATCAACAAACCGGCTATCCTCCGAATAATGAGCACAAAAGATGCGGCCAGAAACAGGGCCTCAGTCACATGTCAATTTGCGCACTTCTGGCGACTTAATTTGCACTTTTCCGGCGACTACCGCCACCGCCGAGAGTGGCACCCACGCCGCGTGGGACTCACGAGCAAAGCTGCAGGAGATGCGGAAGCTGCTGCTCGTGGGTCCCAGCCATCTAGTTTAGCTCCATCCGCGCCGCGGTTTGTTCCGTTTCTCGAAATTGTCAACAGACACTAATCCTAGTTTTCCCGCGATGTGCTTGTGACCACTAGTGCGCAATTGACACGTGACTGTGACTCGTCAGGATATTTTGCGGCCGCCATCTTTGCCGCCCGTTATTCGGAGGATAGCCTTGAAATTTAAGCACAGGAGATAAAATAGTGACACAATTTAATTCATCATGTGGACGGTTATGTTTCAATGTTTGGGCCCAATGCTGCTTCCATGCTAGAACTACTCATAAGGGCTATCCTATTATATATATATATTATAAGCACCCTATTGCAGCTGCTACAGATCAACCGTTTCTCGCCTGTCATCTCTAATCATCTCCTCCACCCGCTGCATGGATGCGTCTGTTGCAATCTCAACAGGATGACTAGATCAGAATTCATCAAAAATTTTAGTGCATTCTTAATTAAGGAACTTATTTTACCCAGCTATGGGTACGGATAAACATTTGTCAGCATAAATAGGAAGCATTTCCTTATGAATGTCTTTCGCAAGCAACCCTTTTGCCCCTTCACCCCCCCCCCCCCCCCCCCCCTCCAAAAAAAAAAATCACCCAAGCACAACAGAACGTTGCACAACCTAATGAACGGAGACATAAAGTTTGATGTTACTGTCACCTAATGACATCTTTAGAAACCACCAAAATCATTTTCCTGCCATTCCATAACCACTTGTGACTTACTTATTCATTTCCTTGTGTGTGTGTGTATTCATATATAAACTAATATATATCAGAGCTGCAAAGACTTGGTGTCACCAACTGGAAAGAGAAGACCAACCAGAGAGATAATGGTGGCGGGTGATATATGCAGCAATGAACATCAAGGGCTCGGAATGCTGAAGAAGAATATAAGTAAGACCCTTTTCCACGCCTTAAGGCGTATTGGGTATGTAGGGCTAGTCCTATATTTTGTAGGCCAGTCGGCACTTGCTGGGTGATGTGGTCAGCATCATTCAAGGCTGAGTTGATGTGGGAGGCATGGTCATTTTTGAAAAAGTCCATCGCCATCAGGACCTGAACTTACAGCCTTCAGATCTGCAGAAAAGCATCTAGCGGCTAAGATATATATGTGTGTGTATAAATATATACACACACATATACACATAAAATAAACAAATAGACATATTGATTAGCACTCATAGAAAGAAGTAGAAAGATAGTAGGATACACTAGACAACATAACAATCAAAAGCTATATTTATCATGCCGGGAATTGAAACTGTCACCTCATAATGATGTGCGTCTCACTATAGAAACAAGTGTACTAAGAACACAACCAACTAGGTGCCCCAAAGCAACCCCAAAAAAGGTTTCTTATTGGCCATGTCTATCTTACAGCTTGAAATCCACAATTATGGAATACGTACAGACAGAATTGATCTCAGGCAATTGAAATGGCACCACAGGTTACAGAAATTTGTATTAACAAAGCTTATGTCGAATAACAAACAAAAAAACAATTACAAACAGATCATACCGTAACGCTGTGTCTAGAATACAACAGACAAACATTTAAGAAAGACATTTGATTTGGTCCCATCTGTGATACACATAACTGTCATAAATAAACAAAGGGGTGAAACACATTTGCATATACTGAAAGACCAGTATGTACTAAAACACACTTACTACTAAAACAGACCAACATATACTAACTAAAACACACTGATGCTTACTAAAACACACTTATTACATGTACTAAAACACACTTACATGTACTAAAATGCACTTTCATGTACTAATACACATTTGCCTATAGTGAAACACACTTGCATGTACTAAAACACACTAACATGTAGCGAAAAACACTTACATGTCCTGAAACACACGTACATTACTGAAACACACATGCTGAAACACACTTACATTTGCTCAAACCACTTACATGTACTAAAACACATTTACATGTACTTATACGCTCACTGTACTAAAACACATTTACCTGTAGTAAAACATATTTACGTGTACTAAAACACATTTACCTGTAGTAACATTTACCTGTAGTAAAAGACACTTACATGTAGTGAAACACACTTATGTTTACTAAAACATACTTACATGTACTGAAACACACTTACATGTACTAAAACACACTTGGCTGTAGTAAAACGCACTTGCATTTACTGAAATGCACTTACGTGTACTAGAACACACTTACATGTGCAAAAATGCTTTTACATGTATTATAATTAACTTGTATATACCATGCTAAAACACACTTACTTGTACTAAAACACACATATATTAACTAAAACACACATACATGTACTGAAACACACATACACGTACTGAAACACATGTACTAAAACACAGTTACATGTAGCAGAACACACTTACATGTACTAAAACACACTCATATGTACTGAAACACACCTGCATGTATAAAAGCCACACCTGTGTGTACTGACTGTAAAATGACAATTTTTCCTCTGCTGACAGTGCATCTCTTGTACCTCCCCATGCAGATATTTTGAAAGAGAACAGTTTAATCATTCCGCAGACAGAATATCTCTCATTAGTCCATCAGTGGCTCAGTTTGTGAGATTTGCCCCAGGTAACATTCTGTGTGTGTGTTACTAACATCATTGTACTGACAGACTCACATTGTTACTTACATACTGTCAGTGTTACATACATCAGTGTGCTTACAGACTGTCAGCGTTGCACAAACAGACTGTTAGTGTTACACACATCATTGTGCTTACACACCCTCAGTGTTACATACCTCATTGCACTTACAGACTGTCAGTATCACACACATCATTGTACTTGCAGACTGTCAGTATTACACACATCATTGTACTTACAGACCGTCAGTGTTACACACATCATTGTACTTACAGACTGTCATTGTTACATACACATTATTGTACTTACAGACTGTCATTGTTACATACACATTGTACTTACAGTCTGTCTTTGTTAAGACTCCCATTTTCACATATATCATTGTACTGACAGACTCCTATTGTTACATACATCATTGTACTGACAGACTCCTATTGTTATATACATCATTGTACTGACAGACTCCCATTGTTACATACATAATTGTACCAACAGACTTCTATTGTCACATACATCATTGTACTGACGGACTGACATTGTTACATACATCATTATACTGACAGACTTCAATTGTTACATACATCATTGTACTGACGGACTGACATTGTCACATACATCATTGTACTGACAGACTTCCATTGTTACATACATCATTGTACTGACAGACTTCCATTGTTACATACATCATTGTACTGACAGACTCCCATTGTCACATACATCATTGTACTGACAGACTCCCATTGTCACATACATCATTGTACTGACAGACTCCCATTGTCACATACATCATTGTACTGACAGACTCCCATTGTCACATACATCATTGTACTGACAGACTCCCATTGTTAATACATCATTGTACTGACAGACTTCGGTTGTTACATACATCTTTGTACTGACAGACTTCCATTGTTACACACATCCTTATTCTTACAGACTGTCAGTATTAAACACATCATTGTACTTGAAGACTGTCAGTATTACACACATCATTGTACTTACAGACTGTCTTTGTTACATACTCATTATTGTACTTAAAGACTGTCTTTGTTACATACTCAATATTGTACTTACAGACTGTTTTTGTTAAGACTCCCATTGTCACATACATCATTGTACTGACAGACTCCCATTGTTACATAAATCATTGTACTGACAGACTTCCATTGTCACATACATCATTGTACCGACAGACTCCCATTGTTACATACATCATTGTACTGACAGACATCCATTGTCACATACATCATTGTACTGACAGACTCCCATTGTTACATACATCATTGTACTGACAGACTTCCATTGTCACATTCATTATTTTACTGACAGACTTCCATTGTATATACATACATCATTGTACTGACAGACTTCCATTGTCACATTCATTATTTTACTGACAGACTTCCATTGTATATACATACATCATTGTACTGACAGACTTCCATTGTCACATTCATTATTTTACTGACAGACTTCCATTGTATATACATACATCATTGTACTGACAGACTTCCTTTGTCACATACATCATTGTACTGACAGACTACCATTGTTACATACATCATTTGTTCTTCCAGTGGAAGACCTTATTATGGTTCTGGAACCTCTCCATCTGCCTAGTAAACAGTATGTATTTCTTCCTATCAATGATAATCCGGACACAGATTGTGTTGGAGGAACCCATTGGTGAGTTCTGCCTGTTTTGCCAGTCTTGTCTGTTTCTGTCTTTTTGTAATGTCCCAGGTGTAGAGGAACAGCATCTCACATGTTTCTACCTATCTGTGATATCCCAGATGTGGAGGAATGGTGTATCACATGCTTCTACCTATATGTTGTATCACAGGCTTGAAAAAACATTGTCTCACATGTTTCTACTTATCTTTTGTATCTTAGACATATAGAAACAGTGTCTCACATGTTTCTACTTATCTGTGATATCCCAGACGTGTAGAAATAGTGTCTCACATGTTTCTACTTATCTGTGATATCCCAGACATGAAGAAACAGTGTCTTACATGATTCTCTTTAACTGTGATATCCCAGACTTGTGTCGAAATGTTCACAGTTGGTGTGTCTGCTACACTGTTTGATTGTACTGACAATGTCTTGTGTCGAAATGTTCACATTTGGTCTGTCTGCCCTACAGTTTGTCTGTATGAGTCCATATTTGGCTGTGCTTTAATCACAAATGTATGTTTCAGGAGTCTGTTGGTGTATGTACGCAGTAAACAAGAGTTTCAGCATTTTGATGCCTTCCGTGGGAGCAACCAGTCCATTGCCAGAAAAGTCGTGGACAAGTTGCAGCCCTTTGTGCAAGGTCAGTATTACTGATGGAAACAGCCAAAGAGTTCAACTGTCAGTTTATATTCTACCTCATGTATTTGTTTGTTTGATTGTTATTCAACGGATCAACATCATAGTGCACGGTTGCAACCCATAAGTGCTCCATTCTACTTCTAACTCAAGCCTGAGTCTGAAGAATCTTAGTACAGTGCACAAACTTTTTTGCACCGGCGAGGTTCCTGAAATCTATATATATAAAAATCAATGTTTGTGTGTTTGTTTATTACCTATAGACTCGGAAACTACTAAACCGATTTAGCTAAAATTTTCAGGATATCTTTGTTTTGACACCGGAATTCTACCTGTCATGGTTTGAAATAGGTGGCGACATGTGTTAGGAAAATATTTTAATTTTAGTGACATTTAATTAAAGCAACGCACGACTTCCACCATTCGCCGGCGTGACCAGCGAACCAGACTATTTCTGTATCTGCGCAGGCAATTAGTGCACCATTAACCATATTAGACACGATTTCTATTTTCTTTCTTTTCAAACAACCTTTAATGAGTTAGAGAATAGTCCGTTAATTTGAGAAAGGGGGGGGGGAGATGAGGGGCATCAAAGACTATCTCTATATCTGTGCAGACCATGATTGCGACATTAACCGTGTTAGACACGTTCGATTTCTATTGTTGTGCCATTTCAATACTACTTGAAGTAAAACAATTGCCTGCAGTTTTGAGTTGTTAGAATCAAGACACAGTAGTCAAGACACACATCTCAAATAGGTTTGTTTTCTTTTCGTTGTTAGATCTAGTGGTTCGTTAGCCGAACGATTAGAAAACTGGGCTCCAGTGCGGCAGACAAGGGTTCGAATCTGCGGTACTGCATTTTTTTTTTACCCGGGAGCAAAATAAAATTCTCTCCTGCACTGTCGGCATTTGCCAAGCGGCCCTAAATACTAAAAAAAAGTACAGGTTTGTGGGAACACCAGTTGATAAATACATTTGACCATTTCGCATACACATGGTTTTATTTCAAACTTTCCGATTGCATGGTTGTTGAAATTTTATAGATTTCCATTTATTTTCATTTTGATTTAATTATTTCATCTGGCGTTGAGATGGAATTAGGCTGTGTTGTTACCACAGCATTCATTTCGTAATTGTGGTGTATTTTCCTGTTTTCGTTGCTTTTTACTGGGTTTTTTTCTCCCGTCTACTTCGATGAAGGAAAGAGTAGTCGGTGAATTGGGGGGGGGGGGGGGGGGGGGGGGGGGGTGTAACATAAACTGGTAACTGAGAGAGCTTTAAGTCACAGTAACTGCCTTGCCCACTCAAAGTAGCAATAGTAGTAGTTGTGGTTGGGCGGTTACACCGTAGTGCTGTCATGCCAGAGACCGCTGGTAAGGTAGTGATGTTTTTCTGTTGGGGAGCGAAATTACACATCCTAACCTGACCAGTCCGTGGCGATAGCACTAGCCATGCGGCACCAAATCTTCTGGCTCACGACTCCCTGTCTACTCTGATGGTAAAACAGATAGCAGTGCCATTATTTTAGTTATTGTGGTGGTGGTAGTTGTACTGGTACTTGAAAGATAGTGTGGTAAATATTTCACTAGCCGCATTTACTACTCATTACAATTCCTGGTGCCCATTTCAGTCTGGATGGACAGGGATATCAAGGTCAGTGAAGAGGTCAGTTGATGACTTTCAAATCTTTTAAAGAGGGAGAGAGCAGTAGTCTGCGGATGGGGGAGGGTAGGGGGTGTTGACTGAAATTGTTAACTTAAAGAGCTTAACAAGTGATTTTAAATCTTCATTTCCTAATTTGTTTATATTTTACTAACGCTACCTCCTTTATTCTCTTTTTTTACGACTTGGTTATTTACAAGTACAGTAGTAAGCTTTACTTCCGTCTGTTTAAAAAACACACACAAACAGCTTTAGCATGTGATAACCAAATAACCTTTTTTTTTAACTGTCCTGATAATACCATTTAAACGACCACTAATATAAAGACACAATTATTTGTTGCGTGTTCTAAAGTCGGCAAACCAGACTATCTCTATATCTGGGCAGACAATGATTGCGACATTAACTATATTAGACACATGCGTTTTCTATTTTCTTTCATTTCCATTAAGCCATACTATGCCACAGCAACGCGTGGCCGGGTACAGCTAGTACTTTATATTTAAACAAGAAATACTTATACCTCATGTATAAGGTCCATGACATTGGAAGCTGGTGTAGGTCCATTTCTCACATGTTCTTTATGAGATGCATCTCCACTATATACATTTTATAGGATTTACAGAAGTACGTTGGACAGGGACAGAAAAAATACCTGCATACCGGCGTCAGAATATAATCTGAGCAAACAGCTGTTCAACAGAAAACAGCAGTCCACATATAATCTGAGCAGACAGAGCTGTTCAACAGCAGTCTACATATAATCTGAGCAGACAGAGCTGTTCAACAACAGACATGTGTCAGCATATAATCTGAGCGGACAAAGGTGTTCAACAACAGACAGGTGTCAGCATATAATGTGAGCAGACAGAGCTGTTCAACAACAGACAGGTGTCAGCATATAATCTGAACGGACAAAACTGTTGAAAAACTGACAGGTGTCAGCATATTATCTGAGCAAACAGAGCTGTTCAACAACAGACAGGTGTCAACATATAATCTGAGCAGACAAAGCTGTTCAACAACTAACAGGTGTCAGCATTTAATCTGAGCGGACAGCGCTGTTCAACAGCTGACAGGCGGCAGGACATAATCTGAGCAAACAGAGCTGTTCAACAACAAACAGCAGTCCGTATATAATCTGAGCAGACAGAGCTGCTCAACAACAGAAAGGTGTCAGCATATAGTCTGAGCAGACAAAGCTGTTCAACAACAAACATCAGTCCGCATATAATCTGAGCAGACAGAGCTGTTCAACAACAAAAAGGTGTCAGCATATAGTCTGAGCAGACAAAGCTGATCAACAACAGACAGGTGTCAGCATATAATCTGAGCAGACAAAGCTGTTCAACAATAGACAGGTGTCAGCATATAATCTGAGCAGACAGAGCTGTTCAACATCAGGCAGGTGCAGGCATAATCTGAGCAGACTAACCGGGTGACAATAAAATATCCCTGCTGAGACCTTTATTGTGTTCATGCTAACTGGGGACTTGTAACAATAAAACATCCTTGCTGCGACCTTCATGCTAACCGGGGACTTGTAACAATAAAACATCCTTGCTGCGACCGCTGGTTTTTTCGTAATGTAAACTGAGTGTACTTTGTACGCTTAATAAGTCACTTGTATATGTAGTAACTTGTTGTGTGCTTATTGTGTACACATAATTTGTGTACTTATTGTGTGCATATAGTGACTTGTGTACTTATTATGCGCATATAATAACTTGTTGTGTACTTATTTGTGTACATGTAGTGGCTAATTGTGTACTCATTGTGTACATAGTGACTTGTTGTGTACTTAAAGTAATTGTTTATCTGATATCTTGGCATTGTTACAGCTCCAAGAAGCAAGCTCAGGTTTATAGAGATGGAATGTCCTCAACAGGAAAACAGTGAGTCCGCTGTAGCAGCTACCTGTGTTTACTGTAGTTGTACATGTTAGGTTACTGTAGCTGTACATGTTAGGTTACTGTAGCTGTACATGTTAGGTTACTGTAGCTGCACATGTTGGGTTACTGTAGCCGCACATGTTGAGTTACTTAGCCACACATGTTGGGTTACTGTAACTGAATGAGTCGGGTTACTGTAGCGCACATGTTGGGTGACTGTAGCTGTACAAGTTAGGTTACTGAAGCTATACATGTTGGGTTACTGTAGCTGTACATGTTGAGTTACTGAAGCTGTACATGTTGGGCCACTGTAGCTGTACATGTTGGGTCACTGTAGCTGTACATGTTGGGCCACTGTAGCTGTACATGTTGGGTCACTGTAGCTGTACATGTTGGGTCACTGTAGCTGTACATGTTGGGTCACTGAAGCTGTACATGTTGGGTCACTGTAGCTGTACATGTTGGGTTACTGATTTTATTTTATTTGATTCAAGAACTGACATCACAGCACTCAGGGCATTCCCATAAGCACTCCGTCCCCATCTTCTGCAGGCAGCGAAGAGTTCTGATACTAATGGTGCCAGTAGCTTTCTGATTAAACGTCCGTCTTGCCTTTCCTCTGAGCCTCGAGCATCTGCCAGAACCTCTCGTCACCCCCAACTGCATCAATCTCACCGACTGTGGTGATCCATCTGCTCCTTCGAATTGTACACGCTCTCCCACAAGGCACTAACCATGCCAGTCCTATCATGTAGCAGTATTCCACCAAGTTGTGCAGAGCCAGCCAGTCTTTCCACCTGTTCATTTCCCGACACACCGGTGTGACCTGGTGGTTACTATTGGGTTACTGAAGCTGCACATGTTGGGTTACTGTAGCTGTACATGTTTGGTTACCGTAGCTGCACATTTTGGTTTACCGTAGCTGTACATTATGTTGGGTTACCGTAGCTGTACATCATGTTGTGTTACTGTAGCTGTACATGTTGGATTACTGTAGCTGTACATCATGTTGTGTTACTGTAGCTGTACGTGTTGGATTAATGTAGCTGTACATTATGTTGGGTTACTGTATCTGCGCATTTTGGGTTACCGTAGCTGTACATCTTGTTGGGTTACTGAAGGTGTACATTTTGGGTTACCGTAGCTGTACATTATGTTGGGTTACTATAGTTGTACATGTTGGGTTCCTGTAGCTGTACATTTTAAGTTCTGTTGTATTGCTGTAGCTGTACATGTTTGGTTACTGTAGCTTCCCCTCTTAGGTTACTGTAGCTTCACATATTGGGTTACTGTAGCTTCACATATTGGGTTACTGTAGCTGTGCAGGTTGTGTTACTGTACTGATGGGTTACTGTAGCCTCACATGATGGGTTACTGTAGCCTCATATGATGGGTTACTGTAGCTGTGCTGTTGGGTTACTGTTGCTTTACATATTGGGTTACTGTAGCTAGTCATTTTGGATTAATGTAGCTTCACATTTTGAATTACTGTAGAGTCACATCTGGGTGACTCACATGTGTGTGATCGCATCGTATATTATACAAACATGAGTGCTTGGGTAGATAAGGAGTTGAGAAATGTTGACATTAATCTCTGTACTGTAGTCAAAGACTTAAGCAGATGAGGAGTTAGGAAATGTGGACATTAATCTCTGTACTGTAGTCAAGGACTTAAGTAGATGAGGAGTTAAGAAATGTGGACATTAATCTCTGTACTGTAGTCGAGGACTTAAGCAGATGAGGAGTTAAGAAATGTGGACATTAATCTCTGTACTGTAGTCAAGGACTTAAGTAGATGAGGAGTTAGGAAATGTGGACATTAATCTCTGTACTGTAGTCAAGGACTTAAGTAGATGAAGAGTTGAGAAATGTGGACATTAATCTCTGTACTGTAGTGGAGGACTTAAGCAGATGAGGAGTTAGGAAATGTGGACATTAATCTCTGTACTGTAGTGGAGGACTTAAGTAGATGAGGAGTTAAGAAATGTGGACATTAATCTCTGTACTGTAGTCGAGGACTTAAGTAGATGAGGAGTTAAGAAATGTTGACATTAATCTCTGTACTGTAGTGGAGGACTTAAGTAGATGAGGAGTTAAGAAATGTTGACATTAATCTCTGTACTGTAGTGGAGGACTTAAGTAGATGAGGAGTTAAGAAATGTGGACATTAATCTCTGTACTGTAGTGGAGGACTTAAGTAGATGAGGAGTTAAGAAATGTTGACATTAATCTCTGTACTGTAGTCGAGGACTTAAGTAGATGAGGAGTTAAGAAATGTTGACATTAATCTCTGTACTGTAGTCGAGGACTTAAGTAGATGAGGAGTTAAGAAATGTTGACATTAATCTCTGTACTGTAGTGGAGGACTTAAGTAGATGAGGAGTTAAGAAATGTTGACATTAATCTCTGTACTGTAGTGGAGGACTTAAGTAGATGAGGAGTTAAGAAATGTTGACATTAATCTCTGTACTGTAGTGGAGGACTTAAGTAGATGAAGAGTTGAGAAATGTGGACATTAATCTCTGTACTGTAGTCGAGGACTTAAGTAGATGAGAAGTTAAGAAATGTGGACATTAATCTCTGTACTGTAGTGGAGGACTTAAGTAGATGAAGAGTTGAGAAATGTGGACACTAATCTCTGTACTGTAGTCGAGGACTTAAGTAGATGAGGAGTTAAGAAATGTTGACATTAATCTCTGTACTGTAGTGAAGGACTTAAGTAGATGAGGAGTTGAGAAATGTGGACATTAATCTCTGTACTGTAGTCGAGGACTTAAGTAGATGAGAAGTTAAGAAATGTTGACATTAATCTCTGTACTGTAGTGGAGGACTTAAGTAGATGAAGAGTTGAGAAATGTGGACATTAATCTCTGTACTGTAGTCGAGGACTTAAGTAGATGAGGAGTTAAGAAATGTTGACATTAATCTCTGTACTGTAGTCAAGGACTTGAGTAGAGGACTTGAGTAGACGAGAAGTTGAGATATGTTGACATTAATCTCTGTACTATAGTCGAGGACTTGATTAGACTAGGAGTTGAGACATGTTGACAATAATTTGATTTCTATAGTCGAGGACTTGTAGACGAGAATTTGAGAAATGTCAACATTAGTCTCTGCTCAATCTATCTTTATGTGTCCTAATTGGCATCCAAGTCTTGGCTTACAATCACAGTTTTTTAGTTTTGTTTCTGCTTCCCTTCTGTGGATCGATTTTGGGCCAAGCATTTGTTTTTAGATGTCTATTTGGCTGTTGCATCTTATGTTTGTGTATGACTTTTGTATGAGTACACTTGCCAATGTTGGTAACCTGATGTGATTGTTTTTCAGGTTACAACCTTGTCATGCATGTGATTTTTTTTTTCAGGTTATGACTGTGGCATGTATGTGATTGTGATGACCGAGCATCTCATCAAAGAGTTCTGTGAGTGTTTCAGTGTCGGCGTCAACGAGGCCGTCAATCAGGAAACTGTTCGACAGAAGCGCAAACACATCCACGACCTAATCCTAGAACTTTCATCAACAGATGTCAACAGTGTTCATCACCATCTCTCCCCTGGACATTAACGTACTCATGAGATTATCCTCACCTGGTCACAGGCTTTGATCTAGGTTTATGGTTTTTGTCATAATGGGACTTCACATTGTTGAGACATGTTCATATCTACACATTGTTAGGACGTGTTCATGTCTAAACATTGTTAGGACATGTTTATGTCTACAGATAATTAGGATGTGTTCATATCTACAAATTTTTAGGATGTGTTTATGTCTACACCTTATTAGGATGTGTTCATTACTGTCTACACAGTGTTAGGATGTGTTCATTACTGTCTACACATTGTTAGGATGCGTTCATTACTGTCTACACATTGTTAGGACGTGTTCATTACTGTCTACACATGTTTAGGATGTGTTCATTACTGTCTACACATGTTTAGGATGTGTTCATTACTGTCTACACATGTTTAGGATGTGTTCATTACTGTCTACACATGTTTAGGATGTGTTCATTACTGTCTACACATGTTTAGGATGTGTTCATTACTGTCTACACATGTTTAGGATGTGTTCATTACTGTCTACACATTGTTAGGATGCGTTCATTACTGTCTACACATTGTTAGGATGCGTTCATTACTGTCTACACATTGTTAGGATGCGTTCATTACTGTCTACACATTGTTAGGATGCGTTCATTACTGTCTACACATTGTTAGGATGTATTCAATACTGTCTGCACATTGTAAGAACATGTTCATGTCTGCAAACTTGTTCATTAATGACTACACAATGTAAGAACATGTTCATGTCTGCAGACTTGTTCATTAATGACTACACAATGTGAAGACATGTTCATGTCTGCAAACTTGTTCATTAATGACTACACAATGTGAAAACATGTTCATGTCTGCAAACTTGTTCATTAATGACTACACAATGTGAAGACATGTTCATGTCTGCAAACTTGTTCATTAATGACTACACATTGCGAGGACATGTTCATGTCTGCAAACTTAATCAATAATGACTACACAATGTGAAGACATGTTCATGTCTGCAAACCTGTTCGTTAATGACTACACAATGTAAAGACATGTTCATGTATGCAAACTTGTTCGTTAATGACTACACAATTTGAAGACATGTTCATGTCTGCAAACCTGTTCATTAATGACTACACAATGTGAAGACATGTTCATGTCTGCAAACTTGATCATTAATGACTACACAATGTGAAGACATGTTCATGTCTGCAGACTTGTTCATTAATGACTACACAATGTGAAGACATGTTCATGTCTGCAAACTTGTTCATTAATGACTACACACTGTGAGGTCATGTTCATATCTGCATACTTATTCATTAATGACTACACATTGTGAGGACATGTTCATATGTGCATACTTATTCATTAATGACTCACATTTTGAGGACATGTTCAAGGCTACAGAAGGTCAGAGTATCTGTTTATTGTTGAACCAGTTGGTTTAATTCTGTTGAGTCTTTTTCTGCAAACATCTGGTTGAACCGAATCTGCCTTATACAACAAACAGCTGGAGCTACTCAGTCTGATGTGTGACTGATAAGTCCAGAGGATGGTACAGATAGATTATATTTGACAGACTGTGAGCTTGTGTGATGGTGCAAATATATTGTTTTTGAAAGAATGTAAGCTTGTGGGATGGTACAAATAGATTATATATTTCAAAGACTGGGAGCTTGTACGGTGGTACAGATAGATTATATTTCAAAGTATGTGAGCTTGTACGATGGTAGAGATTGAATATATTTGAAAAGCAAAGTATGAGCTTTTGTACATGTGCCCTCTGTGTCTGAGCTGAGCCTGTGTGATGATCTTCTTGCCTGGCTGTCCCTAGATGTCTGCTAGAGAGTATCTAATTTCTCTGGGAGGATCAACCTCTGTTACAACTTAGATGCATATTTGTTTGTGTATGTGTGTGTGTATATATATATATATACACACACACATATATATAAAACATGAAAATATACTATCTAAATAAATGTACAATGTACCTGGAAGTGTACACTTGTACATGAATGTTTATGTTTAATTAAATTTGTGCACATGCAAGGGTGACTTGCATGATGAATTGGTTTAAAATGAGGAAGATTTACGCAATATTGTTGATCTCGCTCACTTGCTTGTGTCCATATTGATCCAGTGGCAGGAAAAGTCAAGATGACTGAAGATGAAGTTAGATGCAGAGGATTATCAGGTTGTTCTATGTGTCTCATCGTGCTCTTTGCTGGTATTCGCCATCAGGTCCGTTCAACCAGGTGTTGATTTTCTCCACACATTCAGCCGAGTCCAGTCTTTGCATGCTTGGACAGACAGATCCTGACTCACCGAAGGCTACTAACCACTTAGCTACCCTCACCTGGTTTAGCCAGCCAGTCAGAGCCATTGCCTGGAGAAAAGGAGTTGGGGGGGGAGGGGAGGGTTGCCGTATGATGACAGCTACTAGGAGCCACAGGAGAGAGCTACTGGTGAGAGCTGGCTGCCAGGTTTGGCCCAAAGGCAGGTGAGCGATCCTGAAATGGACCTGACAGGCCCGCAGCACCAGAGGTACTACCACTACTTGGGAATCCTAACCCATGCGCACATATATACATGTAAGTATAGAAACATACATATGGTGCGGTTAACATTACCCATACACCAATCTTCACTGTGAAGGTAACTGGTAGTAAGCATGCTTTGGATCTTTTCTCCAGTCCGTGCTGGCATGTTAGACACTTCTATCTCACTATATTCAGTGATTGTCTCTGTTAGACACTTTTCCTCCTCCTCATGGGAACAATCAGTAGAGAGATATATATCTTAAAGTGACTGCTGCATTGCTGGGCCACGCATGCATTGGGATTCCCAAAGTACAAAGTGGCTGATTGTCATAACATTCCACCACTCACTGGCACATAATCACAACCACCCCTGAGCTGCAGCTGACCCTTTACCCTAAATCACATGACATGATCTGCAAGGTGACCTAGATCTATGATCTAAAAATACCAAACAGGAAGTGTTACGCCTCTCGCTCTGGGGGCGTAAATCCTTTTTTGCTCTATTTCTTTGGTAGAGGCTTTTAGCGAAGGTTATACGCGGACAAGCCCTAAAAATCATATGGGTTTCCTCCCTGCATACTACTTTTGGCTCCCAGGTTGTAAAGGTCCCTTTTCCACGCCTTTAGGCGCATTGGAAATATAGGGCTAGGCCTATATTTTTATAGACCGATGGGCACTTTGTGGGTAATGTGGTCAGCATCACGCCAGTCGCCTTTACTTCCCAGGACTGCACTTGGTACATATTCAAGGCTGGTTGACATGGGGGTCAAGTTATTTTAAAAAAAAAAAAGTCCGTTACGATGCGAACCCACGACCTTCCGATCCGCAGTCGGGCATCTAGCCGCCAACAACACAGGGACTCCCAGGTTGACACAGCCTGAATGGTTACCAGGTAAAAATCCTGGGAAGTGAAGGCGGGCGACATGATGACCATATTACCCACCGAGTACCGATTGGCCTATAAAATATATGTCTAGCCCTATATGCCCAGTACAAGTGGAAATGGGTTCTTTACATTTTATTTATCATCAATTTCCGCTTCTGCCATTAAGCGTTGTGGGGAGGAACAGTTTGCGATCTATCGGTTGATGGGCAGCAATTACTATTGTCATTCTGTGTAGAAGCTCTTTCATGTTATCAGTCCATGTTCTCACTTCAGATGTTTTCATGTGTAGTTGTTTTGGCTGCATTCTTACTAAATGACCAAATCATTTGATTTTCTGTTTATCAGTGAATTTGCTGCATGGTGTTGCTCCTACAATCTGTCTGGTAATATCATTTCTAACTTTGTCTTGGATGGTTAAGTTGACGGGTTTTCTCAGGCATCTCATTTCACATATGTTGATTTTACGTATGTTAGCCTTTAATAATGTCCAAGTCTGGCACTGGTAGCACAGTTTACTTTTTCGTTGCTGTCCGTAATTTGATATGCTGATAAAGGCTTTCTAGCAGCGCCATAATTCTTGTCGTTGTGTGATGGTATTTGAGATGAGAACAACGAATCACCATCAATGCACTAGTGTAGTAATCCATAAGTGCTCCGTTCTTCTTTCAACTCAAGTCTGAGTCCGAAGAAGCTCAGCACAGTGCACAGGCTGTGTAGCACCGGCGAGGATCCTGAAATACTTTGGATAGATTTTTAACTCCAAATTTTGCTCGGGTAGCGCCGTTAATTACTCTTTTCGATTTCCACCTGCCAAGGATTTTTTTTTACGTGTGCAGAAATGCACACAGGCGTCAGATCTCACTACCCAGCGACCAGGGGGAATTACTAGTAGTCTTAAGTCCATGTGAAAAAATCCCAGCCCTTACCGTGGATTGAACCTGGAACCTCTAGCACTGGAGGCAGACACTATGTCCCCCCCCCCCCCCTCCCCCTGTTATTATTATTGGGAAGCCGACTAATTCTACTGTAGTCTGTGTTGATTTTAATATATGTAGATATGAGTAGTCGCCGGAACTACGGAGCACGTGTTCTGCGCTCGAGCACCCCTAAGTAGATAGCAAAAAGAGAGTGAGTAGGAGAATATGAGGAAATAGTGAGAGAAGAAGGTATAGAAGGAGGAGGGCAGGTGTTAGGAGAACAAGGCGATAAGCTGGGAGATACGGTTTCAATCATGTAAGAGTAGGATACTGGAACTGTCGGGTGTCAGGTAAAGAGGTCCTGTACTGGAGAGGCTGATATTTGATTTTGATGTCATCATGCTCCGGGAGCTAAATACATAGTCATCATTGCTCTGGGTATGTTAGTTAAATCAACCCTATTGAACAAGGGCTAGGTCTGCTGATGAATCATGTAGTACTAGACTTGACCCAGTGGAATCACAATGCCAGAGAGGTACGGAGCATATAAATGGACATTGGTGACTTACCTTGGAACCTCATAAATGTATATGCAAATGCAGACTGCTGTGTCAAAAGGGAACACTGGGACTGGCTCAAGGAATTTGAGAAATTACCAGGTGATAGGCAGTCCATGTGTAGGAATTGCAATGCGAGGAACAGAGGATGGGGCAGTAGAAGGGGGGGGGGGGCGATGTGGTCTGGATAAATTATGGGATGCCGACTAGAAAGGCACTGACACAGGTCGATGCAGAAACAGCTATTGCCTTGTCATTTATCTCCCAGTCATTCATTCTTAGCGAAAAATGAACTGCCTTAAATGACTATGGGAGTGATCATCCACCATGTTCGGTCCTGATTTCCAAATCTAGTAAGGTTAAGGCTGGGAGAGCTCGCTAAACCTTCCGGTATGAGCGGACCAACACCTTCCTTGGACGCCTCAAAGAGAGAAAGTGCAAAAGGAGTCTGATGACAATATTTTTTTTACAGCTCCGATGGTGGACTCCAGAAGTAGAATAGGCTTTGAAGGCAAAGATAACTGCGGTGAAGCAACTAAGGAACATGCGACATGCACCTCTAAGCTTCCGAGAGAAAGTGAAGATGGCGGAATGTGTCTAAAAAGATCTAGCGCTGTGCTGCAAAATGGGGAAATTTCGTGAATGAGACTGGAGATGATAAAATACTAAGAAAATCCTGGAAACTGCAAAGAAGAGTGTGCGTGACTACAGAATGAGAAAGGGGAGGGGTTTTTCTCCAGAGATTTGTGGTGCAGACTGATTACAATTATGCAGACATCCTACACCATAAAGAATATAACCCTTGAAGACATCACTAGAGTTTAAGATATTTAACGTATTTTGAAAAAGGCAACAGACACTGCACCAGAGCCTGATGGGGTAGCTATGGCCACATGAAGACATTAAGCGATGAAGACCTGAGGGAGATCACAAACTGCATCAGCACCACAGGACTGGGTGCACAGCTATCTAATCCCACTTCACGGCTCTCGAGATTTCTTAGGGAAATCCCTAGAACATCACATGGTAGAGGGGGTTAGGCTCTGTAGTAGTCGCTATTCATGTAGCCCTAACCCCCCCCCCCCTCGTTCTGGCAATTCCCTACCATATCTCGAGTGCCCTGAAATGTGTGAAATGATATAAAATAACCCAGACGGCTACTGGCACCATTGGTATTGAAACTCTGTGCTGGCAGCTGAAGACGGGGCACTTATGGGAATGCCTCGAGTGCTGTGATGTCGGTTCTTAATCAACTCAACTGTCGCAAAAATCTTGAATGTCTTTGTGTAATTAGTTAAACAGATGTATGGATTTTACGTTTTTTGTGGGGGTGCCTCTGCCAGACTATCGATGATGTTTGCTCTCCCGCCGCCGGGTGATCGAGTTCAAACTGGTAGTCCTGATCAGGGTTGCCAGATAAAAATCGTCATTTTATGCCAAACCATCACCCAAAATATGCCAGAAAATTGCCAAATATAGTGTAACCTTGTACTCACTTCACATCAAAAGCTCTAGATTGAATTCTTCACTGTCATCCTCACTGGAACCAGTGGAAGATGCAGCATAAACCTTTTCGGATGTAAAATCTTTAAGCATTTTCTCAGATGGAATGAAGTCTTTGCAACATTTCTTTGATATCAATAGTTCTGCTCTAATTCTAACAACTGCATCAAGAAAATCCAGTTGTATTTTGTTTCTTGCTTTTGATTTAGTTGAAGTAACAAGAGAGAATATTTTCTTAACTACAGCGTTGCTAACGGGCATTATTAGGCAAGTAAGGGCGAAAGTGGCCAACTCTTTAAATGCCTGGTGTCGAAGTACTCCTATTCAAAAATCTTCCCTGTTTGTAGGTATTCCATCCTTCTTAAATGTAGCTTCTTCTTCCTTCCAGTTGACAACAATCAGTTTTCTGTACTGTTCTTCTATAATACTGATGTTGTTTTCTGCCAGGTGTAAAAATGGTAGCTTTAAAAACTGTGTCCTTGATATTTGATTTAAAACTGTCAAAGGGCTCAATTTTGACAGATTTTGAAATATATTCTCGGTTGGAAGTCTACACGTAATTTGATTGAGATCTTCTTCTAGCACAGACATACATCTTTCATTAATATTGTTTTTTTTTCTATCTGAACTTCAATCCTGTTATTCTTCTGTAGGAACACATTACATTCCGTTAGGAATTTAATACCAAAGTCAACGTGATGAATATTTTTTCTGTTCACTGACGTCATACAGTCTGTTCTTAAGACTTTTCTGGTGCATGGACAATTCTGGGTGTAGTTCATGAGGATCAGCTTTTGTTTGTTGAAAAAGACTGTTCAGTCTTTCAAATTCTTGTACAATTGGTGTCGCAAACACAAAGTACAAATATTTTTTGTGGTCTAACAGCATTTCCTTCAACAATCTTACTTTATATTTTGTGTCAAACGTTTTCTGGGCTAATTCAGCACATGTGAAATAAGCTTTCAATTCTTCCCAGTTTACCAACATATTGAACATAATCTTTCCACGCACAAGCTACCTACTAGTAGATGACAGTTTCTCAAATGGAAGAGGAGCAGTTCGTTCTGATTCAAACTTCGTAGATGTGTTCATCACTCTAAACAGTTCTTTAAAGGCTTCTCATCTTAAATAACTATGACGAAACCACTGAGGTATTTCTGACAGTAAAACAACAAAACAAAAAGAAATAGCGCGATTCTCCGTTAGTCCGTACCAGGACATCACAACAAAGTCAAACTGAAAAAAAAAGATTTTATCTGTAGGTCTACATTGCTTTTAGTAAATTTGCGTGTTTATAATAGAGGAACCATGAAGAAAATGTGAGCACATCTTGATAAGAAAAGCCAGGAAAAACCCAAATATGCCAGTTCATTATCTTATGCCAGTTCAATTTCAAATATGCCAGATTTGTGGAATCTGGCATAAAAAATGCCAATATGGCAACACTGGTCCTGATTCCCCTAGGCATGAAAGCGAAACCGAAACAAGGAACTTGACAACCGGATGTTGTATGATAAGGAAAAATCCAATTTGTTATTTTCGCGTAAGAATATCAAACGTGTAACGATAAAGCATTACAATTCTGCGTCAATGATATTTGAGCACAGACTTCCTTGTTCTCACCTAGGACGTTTTCTTCTAATGGTATTTTTAAGAGAAAAGTCAAATGAATGGTTTATGTAGAAGATTTAGTTTACAGATGAGAGAACTTCCGTTGCGAGATAGGCGGCGAGCAGGCTGTAGCAGAAGTCAACAGGAGTTACAGGACGTGTCATCATACAGTCAGAGCAGACCATGTCTCCCAGTGTGTCCACTTCAGCTCTGTTTGTCTTTACCGCTGTTCTCTGCACTGACATATGTTCACAGTATCATTTTGGCAACGATCGGGATCCTCTCCACCAAAAATACTCATATTTCAGCGAAAGTGAACGGCTGAGGATGAAAGAGGCGTCCCGGGACATGTTCCAGTTTGGGTACGATGGCTACATGAGAAATGCTTTTCCAGAGGACGAGCTGGATCCTATCCATTGTCGTGGTAGGGGCCCTGATTATGACAACCCGTGAGTGACATTAGCTGGCCGCTCGTAGACAACGAGTAAAGATTTAGCCTAGTCTTGTGACATTAGTAAACCATTCAAATAAGTAGGGACAGCTTTAGTGACTGACTGTATGGTGTCATCCATGATTGATATAGTTGAACCTGGCCCGTTGTACCCTATTATTCGTTACCTCTTGTAGTTCTAGTCACTTCATACTAACTAGTGAAATAACGGCGCAAACAACGGTTCAGCACCTCTTTTAGTCACTTCACACTAACTAGTGAAATAATTCTTTCAAGATGGTGTACCCAACTGTTTGGCACCTCTTGTAGTTCTAGTCATCTCACAATAGCTAGTGAAATAACGGCGTACACAACGGTTCAGCACCTTATCTAGCAAAGATATAAAACTGAACGAAAAGTATATTAGCAAGCTTCACAGTATAACAAATACAAACAAAATGTGAACGTTGCGGCTATGGAGCCTTCATCAGCACATACAAATCAAACAATACTACACAGATACACAAAATCACTTAGCTGGTATCTTGAAGCAGCCGGGTCGGTTGTTTCTCAGCAGAATGACTACACGTGTCGGCTTGGGGAATAAATACCCTGTGGAGTACTAGGGGACATAACTGGGGGGTTAGAGGTAAAACTGTGAGGGCAGTTTAATCCCCTGGGAGTTTAAATGAAACTGTTGGCAATTCAGTTCCTAAGGGGTGTTAAAGTCCCCAGAGTATAAATAAAGCGATTCTCAAGAGACTTGTGGACTCTGTAGATGGAATGGCTGGATTTAATGGCTGTCACCTTCATGTCGAGTACACCTTGGTGATCCTTGTAATTGAAGTGCAACAGTACTGGTTTCAGAGCACCATTTTGCACATCCAAAAGATTTTGTCTGAACCTGTCAGCCAACCGTATACCTGTTTCACCAATGTATTTCATGCCACATCTCTTGCAGTTGATATCATAAATGACATTGCGGCTGCCACAATAGAATGCTTCACGTATGTGGAAGGTGGCGTTAGGGAATTCTATACTAACCACCTGGACCACATATGGACAGGTTCTGCATACAGGTCTGCAGCAAGAGACCGTGCCAAAGTGGGGCTCAGAAGTGCGACGTTTAACACTGGTGAAATAACTCTTTCAGCATGGCGTACACAACGGTTCGACACCTCAACTAGTCACTATCCACTAGTGAAATAACTCTTTTCAGGATGTCGTACACAGCCTTTCTGCACCTCATATAGTCACTTGACACTAACTAGTGAAATAACTCATTCAGGATGGCTTTAAGACAAAGTTTTGTACTTACCTTACTTTGTGTTTTACTTGATCAGCAAAACTGAACACTGCTAGCATTTCTAAGAATTTACATGTCCTCTCTGTTCATTTATGCATTAGCAAGTCTTTATTTGAGACAGTTATCTTTTTGAGTCGCAGAGGTTTAGCATCAAAAGCCCTAGGGGTGGTAATCCAATTTTGAAATGTCACAAGCATAACACATTAAAACAGACCGTACTAATTCAGATGCCATGCAACATACACATGTAATACATCAAAGTGACTAGGGATTGTTGAGGAATAATATTAGAATGTTACTACAACAATTAAACTATTAGTAGATTAATGTTAGTAAATAAAGAGACAAGATGTTTAAAAAAAATTAGTAAATTGATATAACATTTGTCAACTTACCACTATAGCGCTCAAGAAAACCATAAAATATATCAAGTAATGTATAAATAAAATAGAAACACAATCTGTACATTATCTCGCACTCCAGAGAAACTTTTATAATTCCATAACAGAGCACCATTATTTAATCATCATCAAGTGCCCTGCCAGCTGACGTAGGCGTTCGTGCGTTGCCACAGATCTCGGTCTTTGTGTTCTGGGTCAATTCTACTGATAATATGCCTCCATGCCACTGTCTAAAGTCATCCACCAAGGTTTCTCTTGGTCTGCCTCTTCTACCAGGGATCTTTCCAGTCGTCATGATATTTTCCAGTGCTCCTTTTCTCATTACGTGACCAAAGAACTTTGTTTGTCTCCTTCTCATTGTTGTATATAATGTTCTACTTTCATTAGCCATTTCCAGGCATTCAATGTTGGTTATTCTGGCAGTCCAAGGTATTCTCAACATCCTTCTCAAGAACCACATCTCAGTTGCCTCCAAACTTTTTAATTTGTTTGCTCACATTCCAATATTCACTACCATACAACAGAACAGGCTCGATATAACATTTCAATACTCTTTTTCTGATGTTTAATGAGAGTTATTTATTACATAAAATACTTCTCATCTTCTGAAAAGCTGTTATATAAAAACCATAATTTGGTGATGAGAGATGACTTCCCAAAATAGTATCTTCGTGCACAACAAAGTTTATATAACACTCAGCCCGTAATTTTTTAGTTCTATTCCTAAATAATAAGGGGAATAGCACTAGAACTGACACTGAAATAAATTGCCTTTTCACTAATATTGATTCTCTTTATACCACCTGACTTTGTTATCATTGTACACTTTGCGTGAGGTATATATTCTGACTACCCCTCGTTAAAGTTTGTCTCTATAAATAACTGAATCAAGTCCACTTTGCAACTTTATCCAACTTTTTATTTATATAATCTGATGAAAACACATTTTATTTAAATTTGAGGCTTCTAAAGCCGTAAATCATGTTGACATACGTGTAGAAAACTGCTCATACCATATTTTATGTTCCTAACCTTGTTTCCAAATAAACTTGATGGTCAACACGTGTGTTATTTAACACAAAGAACTGGAAACGAAGTTATTATACTGGTCAGTAGTAATTTAAAAACCTGTAGGCATCACGAGCTTATTGGGTCATCGGTTAGCTAACAAATAAGGCATAATTTGTTCTTTGTGACTAGAAGAGTTCCAGTTCTAAATACAGAGGATTTTATGACCATTTTTTGTTTGACGTCAAATTTCAGAGAAGAAAGCATAAAAATTGTATCAAATTGTAAAATAACCTAAACATTCATCCTCTCGCTTGCAAACGCTTAGACAACAGAAATAATTATGCTTCACTAACTCTGATCTTTCGAAACAGGCTCATACAAATTTATGTAGCTAGCAAATGAAACAGTATTAGCGTGTCTGTCAGTGTCGGTAGCCACTTGAATGGCAGTATATCTAAATGCAACTGCTTCTGGAGCCACCTAAACAGTGATAGGTCCAGAAAGAGATAAATTTGGATGGCTTTAATGACAGACTGACTGGTTGACTGGCTAGCTGACTAAATGGTTGACTGGCTGGCTGGCTGACTAACTAGGGACTGAATGCCTAACTAGGGAATGATTGACTGGCTGGGGACTAATTAACTGACTGGCTGGCTGACTGATTAACTAGGGAATGATTAACTGGCTGGCTGACTGACTGACTAACTGGCTGGTTGATTTAGTTAGTTAGTTAGTTAGTTAGGTTATCATCATTGCACTCCGGACATGTCCATAGGTGCTCAGATCCTCCCCTCAGTATGAACCCCAACGTCCGATGGCTAATAGTACCAGTTCTATGTTGATTAACAAGTCTTCTGACGTGTCCGATGTGCGTCTCGTTTTTTGCTGTGCCGATCTTAATTCCTAAGTCTGCCATTCTGGCGAGTGATGTGGATTCACTGCCACCAAAGTCCACTATCCTTCCCATTTCTCTGAGGGCATTGATAATATCAGCATGATCCATAGGCCGACCGTCGGTAGTGATAGCGGATCCAGCCAACCTGTCAGCTCTTTCATTTCCATCGACGCCTGCGTGTCCCGGAACAAAAATAAAGGTGACTCCTCGCACAGTGGACTTCTGAATTGATTCAAGCCATTGTCTTCGCACTGAACCTGCCTGAACCCTCCGGATCATACTCATTGAATCACTGAGTATACATATGCGGGTGTATTTTTGTGTTTCAAGCCAGGCAAACGCTTGCGTCACTGCCATCACCTCCATCGTCATGCTGCTGGTTGTCATGGAGAAAGCGCCGTTGGCTTCTTTGACTGTTCTGCCCGCTGAGCGTGCTGTAAATGCCCATGCGCTTCTTCTTTGGCGTATAACGGATCCGTCTGTATAGATTAGTGCATCTGCTTCGTCTGAATTTTCACCGATGAGAGCGTTGACCTCTGCATTAACAGCAACAGGATTCTCTTCTCTACATCGCCTGTTGAGTGTGACAATACAGGAAAATGTACAAATAAACGTCTGAGGCACAGGTATCCATTCTGCACCAGGTATGATGTCGGTTAGGCTGCATATTTGCCTAATAACATCTTCTGCCCGACCTAGCCACGATTTTCCCCTCTTCAGTCTGTCGCCCTTTTCACTAAAAAGCGCTTGATGCAGTGGGTGTTTCTTATCAGCACATATTTTGAGGTATGCCCGAGCCCTCCACACCCTGATCCTTTGGTTCATTGTTGGAAAGTCAAGTAGATACCTCATTGCTCCACAGGATGTGTCTTTTGTACATCCCAAAATAATACGCATGGCTTCATTTTGCACCTTTTCGAGTCGTTCAATCTGGGTAGCACTGACAGTGAGGATGGCCAGAGCGTATTCAATGGGGGAAAGGACTAGACCGTAGAATAGAAGTACTAGTAGTCTTTGCTCGATATTGGAAGCAGCCATAATCCTCATTGCAGATAGACCTTTGCGTGCTTTTGTTATCACATGGTCAACGTGTTCCCTGAATGACAAGCTGCGATCGAACCTCACCCCGAGAAACGTCATAACGTTGGTTCTGATCAATACATTATCACGCATTTTCACTTCTGGTAAGTCCGACTTGACAATGTGATTGTTCAAAGAGAACCATGACACTGATGCCTTCGAGGGATTGACATAGGCATTGGAACCATCACACCAGGCAGCAATTCGATCGAGTTCTTTGTGCATTGTGCTGGCGATCTCCTGTCTATCACGCCCTCGTCTGGTTGAATAACTGGCTGGCTGAATGACTGGCTATTTGAGTAACTGGCTGGCTGACTGACTAACTGACTGAGTGACTTACTAGGGACTGGTTGAATGGCTGACTAACTGATTGATGGACTGGTTATTTGGCTGGCTGACTGACTGGGGACTGATTGATTGTCTGACTGTTAAGTATCAACCATTATTGATGATATAGTTGAAGTTAGTCATTATACACTTTTCTCTTGGTTTCCCACAGGGACAACATCAACATCAATGACGTGCTTGGCGACTATTCCTTGACTCTGGTAGAGTCCCTGAGCACATTAGCAGTGAGTTGCATTTCATGCTGTCAGCTTCTATGGTCTTGCCATTTCATTGTGCAAGGCAGTGAGTTGCATTTCATGCTGTCAGCTTCTATGGTCTTGCCATTTCATTGTGCAAGGCAGTGAGTTGCATTTCATGCTGTCAGCTTCTATGGTCTTGCCATTTCATTGTGCAAGGCAGTGAGTTGCATTTCATGCTGTCAGCTTCTATGGTCTTGCCATTTCATTGTGCAAGGCAGTGAGTTGCATTTCATATCGTCACATTCCAGGATCTATAAATTTTTTGTGTTTCATGCTGTCACATTTCAGGATCTATCATTTCATTGTATAAGGCAGTAAAATACCTTTTCTTCAGACGCTGTTCAAACTTTTTTGGGCACCAGAGAATTTAACATCAGAGGACCTAATGAGATAAAGGGTAACAACATTAGGAAATATCTAAGACTCTGGTCAGGAGAATATTGTGGATTTTCTGTCCAGCATACTCGGATGTGCAGAGGTAATGAGCAAGCTTTTAGATTGGCTGCTGCCACTCCTCTGGCTGGTGAGCTGTGTTTTGATAAAGTGTTAGTGGCTCTCTGGGATCAAGAGGACAGTGCAATAAAACACACCTAGCATCCGTACACTGATAAACTAATTCAGCGAGGGGTGGGCGGCGGGTCTGGAAGGTATTCAGCACAGGCAGACTTTTATCAGGTTACAACAGGTACTGTTAGCATATTGACTCTTGGTTGGCATGCTGAAAAAGGAGATGGAGCATGTATGGGAATGTCCCTAGTGCAGTAATGTCAATTCTTGATTGATCCTTTTTTTGGAATGTCAAGCAGCATTACAGTTTTCCAGCAAACATCTAGTAGTTTGACAAGGCACACAGAAATGCCACACTTTTCAGGCATGAGTCAGTGAAAGAAAATATGTTGAATTAGGAATCGACATCGCAGCACTCAGGACAACCCCATAAGTGCTCCGTCCCCATCTTCAGCAGCAAGCGAAGAGTTCCAATTTCGATTGCACCCGTAAACAACATTTGATGTGCAAGATTATTTCGTCAGACAGATAAGTAGATTTTTTGATTCCATGATTTATTATATTGTTCACAAATTAATTTCCTAGCTTTATTAATCATATATGTTCTTTCAGTGATTCATTGTCTAGAAAATATGAGAACTAATGCAGTAGACTAAAGTATTAAGTGACAAGAAAATATGTGAACTAATGCAGTAGACTAAAGTATTAAGTGACAAGAAAATATGTGAACTTATGCAGTAGACTAAAGTATCAAGTGACAAGAAAATATGTGAACTAATGCAGTAGACTAAAGTATCAAGTGACAATAAAATATGTGAACTAATGCAGTAGACTAAAGTATTAAGTGAACTTTTACTACAGTGCACTGAAGTAGGGAAGTGACTAGAAAATATGTTAACTTTTACTACAGCGCACTGAAGTAGTGAAGTGACTAGAAAATATGTGAACTAATGCTGTAGACTAAAGTATCAAGTGACTAGAAAATATGTGAAATAATGCTGTAAACCAAAGTATCAAGTGACTAGAAAATATGTGAACTAATGTTGTAGACTAAAGTATCAAGTGACAAGAAAATATGTGAACTAATGCTGTAGACTAAAGTATCAAGTGACTAGAAAATATGTGAACTAATGCTGTAGACAAAAGTGACTAGAAATCCAGCAGACCAGAAATGTGACAGGTGTTTAGCGATCAGTGATCATTTGTTGTGTGCCATGTACGGGTCCTGATAGCACTGTTTTTATATTTGCCACCCAGGTCATGGGCAACAGCTCTGAGTTCAAGAGAGCGGTCAAGCTGGTCACTGAATATGTGGCTTTCGACAGAAACAGTACTGTCCAGGTTTTTGAAGCTAACATCAGGTGAATGCTTATCCTGATCATGAAATGTTACATGCTGATGTCATGTTATATCAGATTACATCACAGTATGTCACATTATATCAACAAACTTACGCCAAGTCGTTCCATCCTTCACTGTCACATGCAGCTCTTCCCTTATCCTCCCCATCTTTTTAACTTCACTCTCTAGCTCCCTTCTCCATGTGATTTTTGGTCTTTCTTTATGTCTGTACCTCTGTGGGTTCCACTGCAAGGACAGTCCAGTAATTGTGTTCTCAGGTTTTCTCAACCTGTGTCCTATCCAACACCAGAATCTTTTCTTCACCTTTGGTCAACTGGAACTTGTTTAGTTCTCTCCCAAAGCTCTACATTCTATCATACCATTTAATTACCTCTATTCTGCGCAGGCACAAGTTAATGAATGAATGTAGTTTATTAGTAATTGCCTTAGTTGTTCTCCATGTTTCCGCTCCATACAGCACAGCTGATTTGACATTAGAATTAAAAATTGTAAGTTTAGTATTAGTTAAAAAATTTTTTTTACCTTCCACAAATTCCCTAATACTATAAAAGTTGCTCTTTTTGTGTGCATGTATTTTAATATCTCTCTCCCCCATCTTTATCTTGATTACTTCCGAGATAAGTGTGCCACTCATCTTGGCGTGGGATGCCATTAAGAGAAACCATATTACTTTTTGTCCGATTTATTCTCATTATCTTTGTCTTACCTAGTTAATGTGATCTCGCATCAAGTTCTTTTTGTTTCATTGGCATGAAATAGATTATCTATATCTGCAATGATGCCTCTAGTATGTGAAAAGCTCGCTGATCTACTTTTCATTCGGTTTTATGTCTAGTATGAACTCATATCAAGTATATTTAATTTATCTTGCATCTGATTTTATGAGTGGGACAGAAGAGAAATATCATCAGCACCGTCCAGATCATCAAGCTGTTTTATAGGAGTCCACTTAATTCCATTCCTGGTGTTAGCAGTTGCTGTCTTCATAATCCAGTCTGTAGCCAGGAGAGTCGACAGAAGACATCCCTGTCGCACACCTGTTTTTATTTCAAATGTATCTTCTATCTTTTCTCTTATGAAGAACTTGACATTTCATGTTTTTATATGTTGCCTTTGCTAGGTTAACATTTGGGATTCCATAGTGCCCCATTATTTTCCAGAGAGATTCCCTATCAGTAATGTCAAAAGCTCTTTCATAGTCTATGAATTCATTACTTTGTTCTATTGTTATACATGATGTGGCAGTCTGGTCAGTACAGGATCTGTTTGGCCGAAAACTTTTAATTCTTAGCTTTTTATATAGCATCTTTTAGTCTTTCCAAAATAATCCTACTTAGTATTTTTTCCTGAATTGGTAGCAACATAATTCCTGTATAGTTTTCACACTCCTTTTGGTCACCTTTTTTGGGCAGTTTTACAAGATAGCCTTCTCTCCAGTCTGCAAGTTTTCCGTTAGTCTCCCAGACTTTACTAAATAGACTTCCGGTGTAAACAGTCACAATGGCGGTACGCTTTTTCGTCCATTGAGGCGAATGGCGCAAATTAGCTATTTTCGCTCACGTATAATGTGAAAGTTTCATCGGTATGGGGTCTGAACCGTGCAATGGAGTACATGCACGTGAGTTTAGACTTCCCTCAGGGTGTATTCAACGTCCGATGGCGACTATTTACCAATTCAAAACAACCCGTAGACGGACAAGGAGAACGCGAACAGGCAAGCACGGTGGCGCCTGCAGGAAGTGACTGAAATGTGAGAGACTCAGTTTAAAGTATGTTCGTGTTCTCTACTGGAACTGCGCTTCGCTTAGTCAACGCCGACCCATTTTTGAGAAGCTCCTCTACAGCAACGACATTGTTGTCCTACAGGAAACACACCTCGGTGACGAGATCGTTAAAATTGCGGGCTTCCAATCCTTCTACAATACACGGCACCTCGGACAGCTCATTCTTGTTCGTGACCACATACCGGTGTCTGAGGTGGACATGTCTAAGTGGAATAATGACGACTTACAAGTACACGCAGTCAGAGTGATGGGCCCGGCCCAGTTTGTGATTGTCAATGTGTACGCCTGCAATGGAAAGGTGGATACAGCGAAATGGGAGAGTTTGCTCCAGACGGAGGAAAAGAAAGTCCTTTACTGCGGAGATTTCAACGCCAGAGGACACCAGTGGGGCAATGTAATCACTAATAAACAGGGGGAAGACCTGGAGGATGCCCTAGTGTCTGCCAATCTAGTATGCTTGAACGACGGAAAGGTTACCCGAATGGCAACACGACAAGGGGATTCTGACAGCGTAATTGACCTGGCCCTAGTGTCTCCCTCCATTGCATCAGGATGCAGGTGGAGCACACTGGGATACTACGACAGTGATCACTTTCCTTGCGTCGTCCTGGTAGAGAAGAGCAACAACAAAGGTCATGTAATCAATGTGCCTGCTTTTATATATGACCGTACAAGGCAAGATGCCATTAGCAAAATCCGACGACGTAAAACAAGAGCAGATCGCAGACGGCGGGAGAGATGGGCCCAGCCACCATGGTGGAATGAAGTAGTCAACATGGCGTGGCTAGAAAAAAGGAAAGCTGTCAAGGCATGGCAAAAGGCAAGGAAAATTGATCCGTCACTTTCTGAACGCCTGATCAGTTTGAAAGATGAGGTCAACAAGCAGACAGTGGCTTTCAAGTCAATTGCGAAGGAAGCTAAGACAGCGAAATGGAACGAATTCTGCAAGAGCGTTTGCTCCGAGGGATCTCTTGTGACATTCTGGCGCCTTCAACGGAGCATGCACGGCGCCGCACGACCAAGGGGTATCCCTGATTTTCAGGGTACAGACCTGATATGGCAGAGAACTGATGCTGATAAAGGAAAAACCCTTCTGGCGCGCTACTTGGAGCAAACTGACCAAAAAGACGAAGCTACAAGAATAGGGGTTAAGATGAAACTGTCGATGCTGTGCGAGAACACTGTGCTAGGCACTGATCTCACAATCACTGCAGATACCTTAAGAACTTGCCTCAAGAAATCGCGCAGCACTGCTCCAGGCCCTGACGGCATCCGATACAACGACATGCTGATGATGTCGAATGCTGATTTGAAAAGCGTGGCAAAGGAATTCAATATCAGCATCCAGAGTGGCCAGATACAAGAGGAATGGCTGCATAGTTATTTGTTCCCACTACCAAAGCCTAATAAAGACCACTCGAAGATCTGCGGCTACAGAATCATCTCGATGCAGAATACTGTTGGCAAACTTTTGGAAAAAATTGTCGCACAAAGATTGACCACCTACTTGGAACTACATGATAAGTTCCCACCAACACTTGGAGGGTACAGGTTAAATAAAGAGACATGGTTCAATGCTGCAGTTTTCGCCTACGATGTGTACGAGGGATTTCAGATTAAAGAAGAGACATGTGCGGCAGTGTTGGACTTAGAAGATGCCTACAATAAAGTAGCATACGATTATTTAATGCAATTACTGCTTAAACTAGAAGTTAATCCTATTCTGATCCGCTGGATTGCTTCGGTCCTCTTCCAGAGAAAGATTGTACTAAGATGTGGTAGCTGGTCCTCAGAACCGCAAACGATATGTCCAGGCTTGCCACAGGGATCACCGCTATCACCAGTCTTATTCAACGTTTATACGGTGATGATCACTGAGCAGCAGTTGAATGGAAAGGGAAGGACTTTGTCATTTGCTGATGACATTTTGATTTATCGACGAGGGCGTGATAGACAGGAGATCGCCAGCACTATGCACAAAGAACTCGATCGAATTGCCGCCTGGTGTGATGGTTCCAATGCCTATGTCAATCCTTCGAAGGCATCAGTGTCATGGTTCTCTTTTGAACAATCACATTGTCAAGTCGGACTTACCAGAAGTGAAAATGCGTGATAATGTATTGATCAGAACCAACGTTATGACGTTTCTCGGGGTGAGGTTCGATCGCAGCTTGTCATTCAGGGAACACGTTGACCATGTGATAACAAAAGCACGCAAAGGTCTATCTGCAATGAGGATTATGGCTGCTTCCAATATTGAGCAAAGACTACTAATACTTCTATTCTATGGTCTGGTCCTTTCCCCCATTGAATACGCTCTGGCCATCCTCACTGTCAGTGCTACCCAGATTGAACGACTCGAAAAGGTGCAAAATGAAGCCATGCGCATTATTTTGGGATGTACTAGAGACACATCCTGTGGAGCAATGAGGTATCTACTTGACTTTCCAACAATGAACCAAAGGATCAGGATGTGGAGGGCTCGGGCATATCTCAAAATATGCGCTGATAAGAAACACCCACTGCATCAAGCGCTTTTTAGTGAAAAGGGCGACAGACTGAAGAGAGGGAAATCGTGGCTAGGTCGGGCAGAAGATGTTATTAGGCAAATATGCAGCCTAACCGACATCATACCTGGTGCAGAATGGATACCTGTGCCTCAGGCGTTTATTTGTACATTTTCCTGTATTGACACACTCAACAGGCGATGTAGAGAAGAGAATCCTGTTGCTGTTAATGCAGAGGTCAACGCTCTCATCGGTGAAAATTCAGACGAAACAGATGCAATAATCTATACAGACGGATCCGTTATACGCCAAAGGAGAAGTGCATGGGCATTTACAGCACGCTCAGCGGGCAGAACAGTCAAAGAAGCCAACGGCGCCTTCTCCATGACAACCAGCAGCATGACGATGGAGGTGATGGCAGTGACACAAGCGCTTGCCTGGCTTGAAACACAAAAATACACCCGCGTGTGTATACTCAGTGATTCAATGAGTATGATCCGGAGGGTTCAGGCAGGTTCAGTGCGAAGACAATGGCTTGAATCATTACAGAAGTCCACTGTTCGTGGAGTCACCTTTATTTTTGTTCCGGGACACGCAGGCGTCGATGGAAACGAAAGAGCTGACGGGTTGGCTGGATCCGCTATCACTACCGACGGTCAGCCTATGGATCATGCTGATATTATCAATGCCCTCAGAGAAATGGGAAGGATAGAGGACTTTGGTGGCAGTGAATCCACATCACTCGCCAGAATGGCAGACTTGGGAATTAAGATCGGCACAGCAAAAAACGAGACGCACACCAGCTATGCCAGAAGACTTGTTAATCAACATAGAACTGGTACTATTAGCCATCGGACGTTGGGGTTCATACTGAGGGGAGGATCTGAGCACCTATGGACATGTCCGGAGTGCAATGAGGATAACCCAACTAACTAACTAACTAACTTTACTAAATAATCTGTGCAGCAATTCCATTGATGTTTTTAGATTGGCCTTTATAACTTCTGCTGGGATACCATCTGGACCTGCCACCTTTCCTTCCTTTAGAAGATTGATAGCCTTCCTAAGTTCCTCTTTAGCTGGTATCTTACAGTTGATATCAAGTTCCATTTCTCAAGGCTGGATATCTGGAGGAACCTCTGGTGCTGGTCTGTTCAGAAGTATTTTAAAATATTCAGCTTAACTGTCCACTTGATCTTTAGTATTGGTGAGTACCTTTCCTTGACTATTTATTGATTGATCCAGTTGGCTGACTATATTTGCCTACTAATTTCCTCATGTAACTGTAAATGTCTTGGAGGTTTCCTTTTGCTGTCTCTGTTTCTTGTGCTAGGTCATCTGAGTGTTTCCTTTTATCTGCCCTTAGTCGCCTCCTAACTTCTTTATTAGCTTCTGTATATTTTTCCTGAAGTCTAGTTTTAGCAGCTCTAGTTTTTCCATTGTTAAAGTATGTCTTTTTGCTTTTTCTTTCTTTGATTATTTTAATGGTTTTTGGCATTATTCATGCTTTATGTTTCAATTTTTTCTTTCTAAGGACTTCTATACAAGATTCATTCCAAATGCCGTTGATCTGATCCTAGCTGTTTTTTCTCCTCTGAAAGTCTCACGTTTGTCTCCCCAAATGTCGTTGTCTGCACCAAAAGTCTCGTATATCAGTGTTTGTCTCCCAGAATGTTGGGCTTGTTGTCTGCTCTGAAAGTCTTATATGTCAGTGTTTGTCTCCCAAAATGTTGGGCTTTCTGTCATCCTATCTGGTCTCATATATCAGTGTTTGTCTCCCAGAATGTTGGGCTTGTTGTCTGCTCTGAAAGTCTTATATGTCAGTGTTTGTCTCCCAAAATGTTGGGCTCTCTGTCATCCTATCTGGTCTCATATGTCAGTGTTTGTCTCCCAGAATGTTGGGCTCACTGTTGTCTGCACTAAAAGTCTCATATGTCAGTGTTTGTCTCCCAGAATGTTGGGCTCACTGTTGTCTGCACACCTGATCATCATAGATCCTCGTCAACGCCTGGGAGACATGTCAGTGCCTGACTACCACGATGACCTCCTGGAGCTGGCCCATGACCTTGCTTCCCGTTTGTTGCCAGCTTTCAGTAATACCCCGACCGGCATTCCATACCCAAGGGTAAGATTTGCGCTTCTCAGCTTGTCAGTGTCATTTTGTGCTGGGTGGGGTTTTCCTGTACTGACTGGCCCTCTGTATCTCACAGTCCTGTGTGTTTCAAGAACAGTCAATTTTTTTTTAGCATTGTGATGTTCAGGTTTGTGGTTGTATCACTCTGTGCCAATCTACTATCTTAGTTCGCTACTAAGATGTTTGTATGCCACTGAACTATTACTCTGGGTTGTGCTACAGACACTTTCTGGATGGCCATGGTTTGCTTCAGCCATGCCCCCATCCCACACTTTGATTTAACTTGTTGATAATTTTGTTTACTTGTATATCTGTGTGTTAACTTGTGGATACTATGTGTTTACTTGTGGATACTGTGTGTTAACTTGTGGGTACTATGTGTTTACTTGTGGATACTGTGTGTTAACTTGTGGATACTGAGTGTTAATTTGTGGATACTATGTGTTAACTTGTGGATACTGAGTGTTAACTTGTGGATACTGTGTGTTAACTTGTGGGTACTATATGTTTACTTGTGGATACTGTGTGTTAACCTGTGGATACTATGTGTTTACTTGTGGATACTGTATGTTTACTTGTGGATACTGTATGTTAACTTGTGGGTACTATGTGTTTACTTGTGGATACTGTGTGTTAACTTGTGGGTACTATGTGTTTACTTGTGGGTACTATGTGTTTACTTGTGGATACTGTGTGTTAACTTGTGGATACTGTGTGTTAACTTGTGGGTACTATGTGCTTACTTGTGGATACTGTGTGTTTACTTGTGGATACTGTGTGTTTACTTATGGATACTGTGTGTGTACTTGTGGATACTGTGTGTATACTTGTATATACTGTGTGTTTACTTGTATATACTGTGTGTATACTTGTGGATACTGTGTATACTTGTGGGTACTGTGTATACTTGTGGATACTGTGTATTTACTTGTGGGTACTGTGGGTTCAACCTGTGGGTACTGTAAGTTCAACTTGTGGGTACTGTGTGTTTACTTGTGGGTACTGTGGGTTCAACTTGTGGGTACTGTAAGTTCAACTTGTGGGTACTGTGGGTTCAGCTTTTGGGTACAATGGGTTTAGCTTGTCGGTACGTGGGTTCAACTTGTGGGTACTGTGGGTTTAACTTGTGGGTACTGTGTGTTTACCTGTAGATACTATGTGTTTAATTGTTGGTATTGTGTGTTTACTAGTTATTTGTGTTTTTATTTATTGATATTTTGTGTTTACTTATTGATTTTGTGTGTTTGCTTATTGATTTTGTGTGTTTGCTTGTTATTGTTTCTTTTTGATACTGTGTGTTTACTTGTTGATACTCTGTTTCTACTTGTTGGTACTGTGTTTACTTGTTGATACTGTGTTTCTGCTTGTTGGTACAGGTGTTTACTTGTTGATACTGTGTTTCTACTTGTTGGTACAGGTGTTTACTTATTGATACTGTGTTTCTACTTGTTGGTTCTTGTCTTTACTTATTGATACTGTGTTTCTACTTGTTGGTTCTTGTCTTTACTTGTTGAAACTCTGTTTCTACTTGTTGGTACTGTGTTTACTGGTTGATACTGTGTTTCTACTTGTTGGTACATGTATTTACTTGTTGATACTGTGTTTACTAGTTGATACTCTGTTTCAACTTGTTGGTACTGTATTTACTTGTTGATACTCTGTGTTTCTACTTGTTGGTACATGTATTTACTTGTTGATACTGTGTTTACTAGTTGATACTCTGTTTCAACTTGTTGGTACTGTATTTACTTGTTGATACTCTGTGTTTCTACTTGTTGGTACATGTGTGTACTTGTTGATACTGTGTTTACTTGTTGATACTCTGTGTTTCTACTTGTTGGTACATTTGTTTACTTGTTGATACTGTGTTTACTTGTTGATACTGTGTTTCAACTTGTTGGTACTTTATTTACTTGTTGATACTCTGTGTTTCTACTTGTTGGTACATGTCTTAACTTGATACTGTGTTTCTACTTGTTGGTACATGTGTTTCTACTTGTTGATACTGTGTTTCTACTTGTTGGTACATGTATTTACTTGTTGATACTGTGTTTCTACTTGTTGGTACATGTGTGTACTTGTTGATACTGTGTTTCTACTTGTTGGTACATGTATTTGTTGATACTGTGTTTCTACTTGTTGGTACTGTGTTTACTTGTTGGTCCTGTGTTTCTGCTTTTTGGTACATGTGTTTACTTGTTGATACTGTGTTTCTGCTTGTTTGTACTGTGCTTACTTGTTGATACTATGTTCCTACTTGTTGGTTCATATGTTTACTTGTTGGTCCTGTGTTTCTAATTGTTGGTACATGTGTTTATCTGTTGGTCCTGTGTTTCTACTTGTTGGTACATGTGTTTATTTGTTGATACTGTGTTTCTACTTGTTGGTACATGTGTTTACTTGTTGAAACTGTGTTTCTACTTGTTGGTAATGTATTTATCTGTTGGTCCTGTGTTTCTGCTTGTCGGTACATGTGTTTACTTGTTGATATTATGTTTCTACTTGTTGGTACTGTATCTCATGTTCAGTTAATGTTATGAAGCCACCAAGATATAACCTATATATCTCTGCATCTGTCTCCTTGTCCAGGTATCTTTAACAGAGGGTGTGCCTAGAAATTGTCTGAATGAGACGTGCACTTCAGGGGCTGGTACTCTGGTGCTGGAGTTTGGTGTGCTGTCTCGTCTGTTGAAAGATCCAGTGTACGAAGCTGTTGCTCGTAGGGCGGTGACTAGTCTGTGGCAGCTGCGCTCTAATGTGACTGGCCTCCTAGGTTTGTCCAGCTATACACGTGTGAATTTGTGATTTTACTGGAAGACATTGTTGAGCACATCCATTCAGTATACCCACAGGTATTTTGATACAGTTGATTTTGTCAACATCACAGGTGAACAGTATAGGGCATCTTTTCTTGATCTCTGAGTTACCTCTTCAATCACTCTATATAACCTTCTGATGTTAAACTGTACTGATCAACAGTGTCCCATGACAGGGACTATGAGACATGGATGTTAAACTGTACTGATCAACAGTGTCCCATGACAGGGACTATGAGACATGGATGTTAAACTGTACTGATCAACAGTGTCCCATTACATGGACTGTAAGACATGGATGTTAAACTGTACTGATCAACAGTGTCCCATGACAGGGACTATGAGACATGGATGTTAAACTGTACTGATCAACAGTGTCCCATGACAGGGACTATGAGACATGGATGTTAAACTGTACTGATCAACAGTGTCCCATGACAGGGACTATGAGACATGGATGTTAAACTGTACTGATCAACAGTGTCCCATTACATGGACTGTAAGACATGGATGTTAAACTGTACTGATCAACAGTGTCCCATGACAGGGACTATGAGACATGGATGTTAAACTGTACTGATCAACAGTGTCCCATTACATGGACTGTAAGACATGGATGTTAAACTGTACTGACCAACAGTGTCCCATGACATGGACTGTAAGACATCTGCCTACTGTCTTTAGTGCCTTACCCTTGACTGTGATGTTTGGTTTGCGTAGACTTGTTCCCTGGGCTGGCTAGAACATTATTTCAGTTTTGTCAGTAATTATGACAAGCCTAAAGTTTGTACAACCTTTGAATAATTTGGTTACACCATGTGATAGTTCAGGCTCTGGGCTGGCACAGATAGCACAGTCATCAGTGAAAAGTTATTCTCTAATGGTGTCTAACTTCACCCTGGTTTTAGCTCTTAGCCCCCTGAGCTTAAATAGGCTTCCATTAGTTTAATATCTGAAATTGGTTCCAACATCCCCATCTCTGAAGGCATCAATCAGTATAGCAGAGAATATGATGCTGAACAGTGTTGGTGCAAGCACACACCCTTGCTTTACTCCATTTCAAACCATAAAAGGCTCTGAGAGCTGTACATTTTCCTGAACTCTTGCTTCCATTCCTTCATGAAATTATTTCACTATTGTTATAAACTTGTGTGGACAGCCAAATTTTGCCATGATTTTCCACAGTCCATCTGTACTGACTGTGTCAAAGGCCTTGGTCAGATCATTGAAGTCTTAGAACAAATCATTTTGCTCTTGACATTTTTCCTGCAGCCGCCTTGCAGCAAATATAATATCAATGGTGCTTTGATCTTTCCGCAAGACACACTGACTCTCAGGCAGAAGACTTTGATCAAGCTGCAGTGTAAGGCGAGTCAAGATAATTCTGGCTAGCAATTATCCTGCTACAGATAACAGGGAGATGCCCCGATAGTTGTCGCAAGTCATGCGATTTCCTTTTCGCTTATAGAGGTGAACAACTGTGGCATCCTTTAGGTCTTGTGGAACAGTCCCACTCTGCCATATCAGCTGGAACATATTATGAAGCTACTCCACCAGAGTTGTACCACCTTTCTTGTAAATATCAGCTGGCGTCGAGTCGGCACCTGGAGCTTGACCATCTGAGAGTTGACAAATGGCATTTGTTGTCTCAGCCAGGGTAGATAAATGGTCCAGTGAGTTGTTTATAGGAACTTAAGACAAGCGTTCTATGATTTCATCACTTGTAGATGATGTCTACTTCAGGACACTTTCAAAATGCTCCACCCAGCACTTACGGATGTTCGCATTGTCCGAGATAAGCGTTTTTCCATCGGCACTGAGGATGGGAGTAGATCCCGATGATACTGGACCAAAGACTTCTAAACTCTTTGAGTCTCAGTGGGTTTATCATCACAGGCCCAATGGGTAGTTAAGAGAGACTAAAATTGACACATCAAGCGTTCATTGGGCTTCTAGGTAAGAACCTATGAACATATGATGCGTTCCCTGGGACTCAAAGAGTTAATGAATCATGAAAGTTTTTCATGTCAATTCTTACCTGCAAATGCCTGAATTTTGTCTGGTTTTTGTGTGTGTTGTTGTTGCTCAACCAGTGGTTTCTTGTCTAGCGGAGTCTCAGCTGCGCTGATTTCCGTATATTATTGAAGGCATCTCTCTTTGATGCAGATTTGATAGTAGTTTGTTCATGTCTTCTGAGTTTTGTCAAACTAGTCATGTTTACTTGGGGGGTGTCGCCCAAGGATTTCTGTGGCAGTCTCATGGATTATCTCCTTGAGCACCGACCAGCTTTTGCTGGATGGACATTTTGCCCATCCAATGAAGCAGACTGAAAGATGTCCACAAACAGGTGCTTGATCTGTGGTTTCTTCAAACTGGTTATGTTCAGCATTTTAAGATTCTTTTTACCCTGAGATTGTCTAGGTGGCTGGATGCGAATATTAAGTTTTGATATTATAAGGTGATGGTCAGTCAAACATTCTGTAGCTTACATTGATTTTGTCACCCTGGCCCAGAGTAATATGCTGCCTATATATTGATCCTTTCCCAGGTAACGTAGTCAACATTCAGACTGGGGAGTGGACAGGGACCATGAGTGGATTAGGGGCTGGCATCGACTCATTCTTTGAATATCTACTGAAGGTAAGTACACCATTTCAGTTCCACAATGGCCGTTCTAATGTCTACACTTTCAGGATGAAACTACTGAAAAGTTTTCTGAACTGGGACAGTCAAGTCAATGTGAGTTTCAGTATATCATGAGTACAGTGTGAATGTCAGAGTTTCAGTATGTCATGAGTAAAATATCAGCTGTAGAATTTCAAGTTTTAGTGAGTACAGTACGAATGTGTGAGTTTCAGTATATCATGAGTACAGTGTGAATGTCAGAGTTTCAGTATGTCATGAGTAAAATATCAGCTGTAGAATTTCAAGTTTTAGTGAGTACAGTACGAATGTGTGAGTTTCCTTATATCATGAGTACAGTGTGAATGTGAGAGTTTCAGTATGTCATGAGTAAAATATCAACTGTAGAGTTTCAAGTTGTAGTAAGAACAGTATCGATATGAGAGTTTCAATACATCATGGGTACAGTATGAAGGTGAGATTTTCAGTGTGTCATCAGTAAAATGCTTTTCCGGTTTGTGTCAAGATGGCGGGACGTGTTTCTCTCTAGCTCGGCGCATATCGGTTGATCGACGGTCCGACAAGCTGTCATCGCAAAATCACCAATTGTTATAGAATCAGATTTCTGACTCTAACTGCACGATGATTCGTTCTAATCTGTTAAATTCCAAGGACATCTTTAAAATTGGTTACTGGAATGTTAGAACCATGTACCAAACGGGGAAAACAGCTCAAGTGTGTAATGTTGTAAACGATTACAACCTCGATATTCTCGGTGTCAGTGAGTGTAGATGGACTGGTTCGGGTAAAATATTTTTAAGTTGTGAACAAAAACATATCATCTATTCGGGAAGAACAGACAACCACCATTCAAACGGAGTCGCCATCATTTTGTCAAAAACAACGGAAAAATCGCTAATCGGCTGGGAACCAGTAAATGACAGAATTTTAACAGCGCGTTTTCAGACCAAACGTTTCAAACTAACTATTATACAGTGCTACGCACCTACAAACAACGACACCGACAGCAACAAAGATAATTTCTACGACCTCCTGGTTGGTGTCATAAACAAAACTCCTAAGCACGACCTCCTTGTTGTAATGGGCGATTTTAATGCCAAGTTAGGGTCTGACAACAAAGGTGTTCAAAAATATATGGGAGTACACAGCCCAGGAGATATGAATCAAAACGGAGAGAGGCTAATTGAACTCTGTGAAAAAGCAAATCTAACAGCAGCAAGCTCCTTATTTCCGCATAAAGACATACATAAAATAACCTGGATTTCGCCAGATAACATAACAAAAAACCAGATAGATCATTTTTGCATCAGCGCCAAATTCCGTACATCAGTGCAAGACGTTAGAGCCTACAGGGGAGCTGATATTGGCAGTGATCATAATCTTTGTATTGCCAAACTAAAAATTAAACTCAAGTCTCTACTTAAACCACCCAGAAATAAGAAAATAAACTTACAAGCCCTTTTGTCAAAAGATCATCAAAGCGCATTTAATGCAGAGATACTCACCACCTATGAAACCAAAACTAATAATGCGGATACTACAAATAACATAGACAAAAATTGGGACTTTTTCAAGAAGACACTGACGAACGCTGCAGTAAACACAGTTGGTTATGTACAAAAGCAGAAGAAGAAGTGGCTAAGCGACAACACTTGGTCAAAAATCCAAGAAAGGAAACAAGCAAAATTAACACTTTTATCCAAAAAAGACACATCTTCATACGAAAAATACAGCACGCTAGACAAAGAAGTGAAATCAAATGCAAGGAAAGACAAACAGAACTTCATACACGACCTCGCCTCCGATGCTGAAACAGCTGCCAAGATTGGAAACAACAAAGCCGTATTCCATACTATGAAACAACTGTGCAATCACTCACCTACACTAAATACACCCATTAAAGACAAGCAGGGTAAACTACTGCTATCCGACGACCAACAAACAAAGCGATGGGCAGAACATTTCAAGGAAATATTAAATAGGCCAAATCCTGACATCATTCCCAATCTAGAAGAAGAAATTATTACACCAACACTAATTGCCTCCAGCGAGTCATTCACAATAGAGGAGATTAAAACAGCTATTAAAAAATTAAGAATAAACAAAGCTACCGGAGAGGACAACATCTCAGGGGAAATGCTCAAAGCAGCGGATGAAAACACCCTACAACATTTGCTCCAGCTGATGGATGAAGTCTGGCAAAACGAATACCCACCACAACAATGGAAAGATGGTGTAATCTTCAAATTACCTAAAAAAAGGTGATTTATCCGATTGTAACAACTGGAGAGGCATCACCCTGCTTTCGATACCAGGGAAACTATTTTGTAGTATGCTACTAGAAAGATTGAAAAAATCCATAGATGAAAGATTAAGGGAAGAACAAGCCGGTTTTAGATCCAAGCGGTCATGCATAGACCACATCTTTACTCTTAGAATAATCGTTGAAGATTCTACAGAATTCCAGTCGAAATTATTGATCAACTTTGTCGACTTTCAAAAAGCCTTCGACAGTATCCATCGTCCAACACTCTGGAAATTGCTTAACATCTATGGTTTCCCCATCAAATATATCAACATCATAAAATCTTTTTATAATGAAACACGATGCTGTGTAAGAACTGATTCCGGCAATTCTGACTGGTTCCCGGTGGAAACAGGAGTGAAGCAAGGCTGTGTCCTATCGCCGATGCTTTTTGGTATAGCAATCGACTGGGTCAAGCGCAAGTGCATAAATAACGCAAATTTAGGCATTACATGGGTTGACAAAATTCTGGAAGACCTAGACTTCGCCGACGACATAGCACTCCTGAGTTCAGAACACACAGACGCCCAAGAAAAAATCAATCGACTCCAGGATTTCTCAGAACAAATTGGACTCCAAATTAACACCGCAAAAACAAAAATTCTAGACCTTACCAACAGTTCAGTTGATATCACGCTGAACAACAACAGCCTTGAAAAAGTCAACAGTTTCACTTATCTAGGGAGCAAGATGTCATCTACAGGAGATACCGCACCAGAAATATCATTTAGAATAGCACTGGCATCTAGTGCCTTCAATAAACTGTCTAACATCTGGAAATCAAAGACACTTAGCAAACACACAAAACTCAAGATCTTCAATTCTTGTGTGATTCCAGTACTAGCCTATGGATGCGAGAGCTGGAAATCAACGAAAACTCTAGACACAAAATTAGACAGTTTTGAAAATAAATGCCTTAGAAGAATACTAAATTTCAAATGGTCAGATTTCCGAACCAATACACAAATAAGGCAAGAATCCAGGCAAGAGTATGTGTCAAATTTTATACGAAAACGCCGCTGGAACTATGTCGGCCACGCCCTTAGAATGGATAAATCAAGACTTCCTTACCAAGCCCTCATCTGGACACCACAGGGGAAAAGATCTCGTGGAAGACCAAGGGAAACCCTACGTAGAACTATCATCAGGGAAGGCTCGCTCATGGGCCACTCAAACATCCAAGACCTACAACGGATTGCAACGGACCGCCGTGCATGGAGAGTCATGACCTCTGCCCTATGTGCCGCACTCGACACAAGAGGAAAGACTAACTAACTAACTAATCAGTAAAATATCAGTTTGAAAGTTTTGAGTTGTAGTGAGGACAATATAAATGTGATATTCAGTGTGTCATGAGTACAATATAAAGGTGAGAATTTTTATGATGTCCTAAGTAGAATATGAAGATGAGAGTTTCAGTAAGTCTTGAGTAAAATAGAGTTTTAAACTGTATTGAGTACAATATGAAGTTGCACTTTTCAATGTGTCAGAGTTGGTGATGCTTTGACGTCACAAGCCAGTCGATTATATGGAGGTGTGTGATTTGATGGCAGGAATGACAGAAAACACATGTCAGGGATGGCCAGAAGAGAAGTTACTGTAGACTTTGGCGGCAGGCGTACAGACATTGGGGTATGATAGATTGTTATGGATAGGTGAGAATAGGATCTTTGCAGGGACAAATAGGAGAGGACCTGGTAGAATGGAGCAGTGAAGGAAAAGACAAGGGTGAGTGCAGCTGTAGTATGGGGACACAAGAAGACAGAGCTTTGTAGAATGGTGGAGTGAAATGGAGAGAAGGGACAGAAGAAATCATCTTGTTAGGTTGTTGAAAGCTGTTGTGAGACCATCTAGAAGATAAGATTGATTTCCAAACTCAACCTTTCTCCACTGTGGCTTAGTTCATTATATTTCTCCTCTACGGGTTGGCTCATTATATTTCTCCTGTATGGCTTTACTCATTAGATTTTTCCAGTGTGGCTTGGCTCATTATATTTTTCCACTGTGGCTTGGCTTATTATATTTCTCCACTGTGACTTAGCTCATTATATTTCTCCACTGTGGCTTGGCTCATTATATTTCTCCACTGTGGCTTAGCTCATTATATTTCTCCACTGTGGCTTGGCTCATTATATTTCTCAACTGTGGCTTGGCTCATTATATTTCTCCACTGTGGCTTGGCTCATTATATTTTTTCTATCTATCTATCTATCTATCTATCTATCTATCTATCTATCTATCTATCTATCTATCTATCTATCTATCTATCTATCTATCTATCTATCTATCTATCTATCTATCTATCTATCTATCTATCTATCTATCTATCTATCTATCTATCTATCTATCTATCTATCTATCTATCTATCTATCTATCTATCTATCTATCTATCTATCTATCTATCTATCTATCTATCTATCTATCTATCTATCTATCTATCTATCTATCTATCTATCTATCTATCTATCTATCTATCTATCTATCTATCTATCTATCTATCTATCTATCTATCTATCTATCTATCTATCTATCTATCTATCTATCTATCTATCTATCTATCTATCTATCTATCTATCTATCTATCTATCTATCTATCTATCTATCTATCTATCTATCTATCTATCTATCTATCTATCTATCTATCTATCTCTATCTATCTATCTATCTATCTATCTATCTATCTATCTATCT